TCCGGGCCTTTTCGGGAAAAAAAAAAAAAAAGGGGGGCCAAAAAAAACCCCCCTTAAATTTTCCCCCTCGGCATCAAAAGGGGAGGAAAATTCACCCGGGGGGTTCTTTTTGTTTCAGGGGAGACAAAAAAAACCCCCCCCCGCCATGGGGGGGGGGGGAAATCGAAAAGAGAAAAAGGGTTTTGTAAAACTCAAGGCCCCCGGGGTTTGGGCAGCAGCCTTTGGGGGGGGTTCCGGGTTTTTTTAAAACAGGGTATTTTGGTGGTGGTGGTGGTTCCCGGAGGGACCCCCCCCCCACCCCCCCCCCATGCATTTCCGGGGGGTGTTTTGGTCCCAGGGGGGGAGGAGCCGGGGCAAGGGGACGCCCACCATTCCGGGGGGTTTTTTTCGGAGCTTCCCCGGCCACCCCAAAAGGGGGGGGGGGGGGGCGTACTCATGTAAATGCATGCCGTAGTCCTTCCACCATTGGCCTCGCATCATCCCTACAACGCCCGGACGGACCTACTACCGGGTTTTCGCCGGCCCAGCAGGCTACGCTTGACAAGGATCAACCGGGGGCTGGTCGTCACCCTTGCGTGGGCGGGGCGCTCGTGTTTCTAATACAGCAGTTTGCGCCTGCGGTTGAGAACCTCTTAGTTTTGGCCGAGGGTGGGGTTGGTAATTTTTTCTTAGTTCCTCTTGTGGGCTACAAATGGCCGCCGCATAGGTTTCAGTTTGGGTTCAGAACTTTAACCGGGCTCAAAAATGGTGGTCAAAGTTCAAATACTGCTACTTCATGTGCAGGATTCAGCTAGATGATTACCGGCCAGTTTCCTTGGTGGTTGGCGTGCTGCGGTTGGGACCCGACATTGTTGGCGAATCCGATGATTCCATCCTTCAATCCTTCCCCATTGCAAGTGACAACGCTCGACACCATTCTTAGATGTTGAGTTTTTCGCCCCTAAATTTCTTAGCTGCTAAATTTGAAGTCCGGGCATAAACTATTGACAGGTGTTGTTATTGCCATCGTCTCCACTGCATCAAGCATTATCCCCTCACTATATGGTCCACCACCTCCTGCATCATGATTCTTGGAAACGGGAATAAAACGCAGGGAATCACTTCACCACCAGCATCCTCTCAAAATCCTCCCATGACAGCAGAAATACTGACTTCCCGCTCTACGCTAGAGAGTGTCCCGAAGAACTGAACGATCGCAATCTCCTGGGGTACGGTTGGTCAACTGTTCTACCGGCTATCCCCCCCCGTAGGGTAGATAGGGTAGGAAAAACATGCTTGAGTCACCTCTGGCAAAGTAGGAAGGGACGATTGGCCATCGGTGATCGGTCTTGGGGGGGGAACAATGAACAATGCTCCGTCCTCTCGTCAATGGTCAACTGTTAACAGCTATGTAAGACACGAAAAACATGAGTCCCCACCCCGATCGGCGTTTACATGCTACACAACCTAAACGGGAAAGCTGTTGAGCGTTCCACATGCTACAACCTTAACCGGGAAAGCTGTTTCGCCACCTCGAAAACAATCCACACACCTTGTGCAAAAACGCGGTATCTTCGTAGCCCCAGCGGCCGCTGTTCGCGTCGGCGATGCCGCCCACCGCGCGGAAATCGGAGGCGTACATGGCCATCGGCCCGAAAGTGCTGAGAGGGTAAATGCAATTTCCTGGTGAAAAAAAAGAAAAAAGCACCACACAAAAAAAATAAGAAAAGAAGCCAACGACGCGGTGAAGAAAGGTGAAGGATGAGACAAAAACATGGATATCCAGCCACGAAAAGATTGAAAAAAGAAACATGACAATGCAGCGAAGAGTGTTCGATAAGACAGAAACGTGAAAATCCAGCCACGAGAGCATTGAAAAAAGAAACACGACAATGCAGCAATGAAGAGTGATCGATGAGATAAAAAATGGATACCCCGCCACGAAAACGTCACACCCTTTGGCGAGGTCTTCAACAACAACAGCAGCAACTGCTGCGGGACCAGCATCGTCGGGTGTTCTACAAAGATTAGATTTGGTTGGAGTCGTCGTTTGTCACGCCATCCCCTCTCCGCCTCCCCGAATAGCGTTCCGCGTACACTATAATAGCCTCTCCCTTAAAAGGACAAACTACAATGTTTTTTCTTCACAAAAAGTTTCACAAAGAGTGCCCTTCAAGCGGGGAATGTGTTCTTCAAAAAAAATATATATATATCCTCCCTTGTTTTTCTATGTCCTACGCGGCACCCTGCTTCTGAGTAAGTGGCAGTGTCATCAAAGCGGGGGACATGTCCTAAAAAAAAGCTACCTCCCTATCTCTTTTACGTCCTGCGGGGCACCCTGCTTCCGAAAAAAATGGTACATGGCGTCAGTGGAACCCTCGTCCAATCGAAGGGGTTCTTTTGTTCTCTGATGAGCCCACTCGGTAAGTTTCCTGACCGCAGAGATGTAAGACCGTTGGTGGACACACCACACAGCTCTCCGTTATTCAGGACTGACCTCAACGAGGCATCCATATGTCATCGTCGAAGTTACGCCGCATTCTTCACCTCTGCACGTTACACGTGAACCGACACATCACCATCGATTGCATACACGACCTTTGAAACTGCCTCAATAGTTCTTCTGTGTCCTACTGCTGTATTCCAATTGTCCTTCCATGCGGGGACGATTGCAGTACCTGGGACCGGATGGTTCTCGTAGGCAAGCAGTAGGTTCACCGCCTGCACCCCCTGCACGACCGTCTGCCTCAGGGCGTCCGGCAGGGTGCAGGGGGGGAAGAGGTCTGCGTCATGCACGAACATGATGTGGTCGTCGGGGATGGCGGTGGAGGCGTCTTGGATGGCCAGAGCCTTCGAGAACGGAGAACTCGACAGCACGAACACGGTCTCCACCTGAATCAAGGCAACGGTGACCGGAAAAGTTGTTGCTGTTGTTGTTGTTGTTGTTGTTGTTGTTGTTGTTGTTGTTGTTGCTGTTGCTGTTGCTGTGGCTGTTGTCGTTGCTGCTGCTGTTGTTGTCGTCGTTCTTGTTGTTGTTGTTGTTGTTGTTGTTGTTGCTTTTGTTGTTGTTCTGTTTTTCTGGTTTTTATTTTTGTGGTTTTCATTGCCGTCGATGTTTGTTCTGTTAAGTGTTGTTGTGCCCATCGTCGTCAGTGCTGCTGATTTTGCCATCATTGAACAGAAAACCGCTTCTATCTCTGCTCAGTACACGCTCGAAACACCCGTACGCCGGCCCAACCGCAGCGGACGCCTTCCGTGACAGAAAGGAATGAAACCGTGAAAAACGCTACACGAAGCGAAGAAACTGTCGCACGAAACCTACAAATCATTTCTCGAACTCCGATGGATGCAACTATTCATTCCTTGGTCGTCATTGGTTGCCGGAACCCGCGCCCAACGTGGCACTCTCTAGGCCATCCTGCAGCCTTGCCCTCTCATACTGGCGGGGCCCTCCTTCCAGTGCGGGGTCACACAGCACAGCACTTCAGGATCTCAAACAAGGAGCCGACTTACCACCCGGCTTCCGTAAGTTATCACACCCCGGTGATCACACAGCAGCGGTCCCTGATCACAAACACACAGGATGGGCCATGCAAGCCGTCTAGGGCGCATGATGTTGTCCGCGATGAGGGAAGGGGTCCCGCAGATTCCTGCCCTACGGTAGGCTTGCGAACAAAGAAGCGCATTCTACAGCAGCAACACAGCAATAAAAGCACACGAAACAAACGCAGAGAACAATCGCCTTCACGGGGATTCGAAACTCCCGGGCCTAGCTAGGTGGTCGTAGTTTTCAGATTGGTCAATTTTCTTTGAAAGGAAGCTGTTTTTTTTTCGTCATTATTTCTTACAAAAGAAGTTTTCTGCGTGCACCCACTCACGTCATAGTTCTCGAGCATAGCTTCCACCGCAGCATCCTCCGTCGCAACCACCACCCGAAAGTTACTACTTTGTTTCACCGCAGCAGCAGCAGCAGCAGCAGCAGCAGCAGCACCCTTGCCCTTCCTCCCGTCCGACTCCGCGGTGCCCCCCCTCAAGCCCCCCCCCCCGGGGGACCCCTCAAGGATCTCCGAGTAGTCCAACCCGAACGACCATTCGGAGGGGGACTGGGCGCGGATCGCTAGAGTCTCCGGGCAGAAAGCCGGCGCGTAGCGGTCGGCATCGTTGCACTGTGGGGCGAGGGGGGTCGATGGATGGTGAGGGGTACACCCCGACCCCTTGGCTAGTTTCTCCATCTGCGGAAGAAAAGTCTTCAGCCGGGGAACCAGTCCCGCAGACACCTGGGGGCACACGCACATGGCGGTTGGGGGAGCGCGCGGGGGGGTGTAATCATGCTTCGCATGCCTTAGCTGTCAGACCATTGACTACGAGTCCTCGAGAGGACGGAGCATTGTTCCCACAGGACCGATCGCTGATGGCCAATCGTTCCTTACTATCTTACTATTTTGGTGGGAGGGTATTCGCGTGTCCCTTGCTTTCGAGTCCTTGGCCAATGACCACGTACACCGAGCGAGGGCTGGGGGTCGTGATGAGACGGACCGTGCCAGATACGGCAATCATTTCTATTTGTCCTATAGGTGTAGGGAAGGGAGCGGTACGCAAGCCTGGACACTCAGGCCGGCTGGTGGGGGCAGGGTGTTCAATTCGACGCCATGGGACGGGTGAAAGGCCGAAATGTGACAATAAAAAAATAAAACGGCACACCGCGACCGAAGCACTAAATATCTACCTGAGGAGGTATCGGCGAGATAGCATCCTGAGCAAGAAAACAAAAACAACAACAACAACAACAACAACAACAAGAGCAAAGCAACAAACTCACAGGCACGACGATATCCACCACGATGTCCCTGGTCGGCACGAACGCCGCCTCGACCTTGAGGCACGGCTGCTGCCTCAACCTCCCCTCCATACCACCACCAACATCCCCACTCTCCGCCATCCCCCGTCGCGCTTGCGTCGCCGCGTCACCGCCATCCAAGGACCCAGCGACGCCGCCGCGGCCGCGGCCGCCACCTTCACTCGAGGGCGGAAGGCTCCGGTCGTCATCTTCCCCCCACTCGGATGGTTCGAACAACCTCTGGCGGGGAGTCGAGAGCTTCGTGGGCGGGGGCTTTGCCGTCCTCGCGCACCCGGGGGCCGTCTCCTTGGCGACCACGGTACTACCGTCCCACGTGAACCCGGTAAACCGCACCGGCAGCAACGGTTTTTCATCCCCCCCAACCGGTGGTTCCGTGGTCGAACCGACCCCACTACCCGCCGACCCTCCTTCCGCCTTGTTTTGTACACTGCCGCTAACCCCACCCCCCTTCCATCCCGTCACCTCGTGAGCCCTGTAGGCCGCGATGGCTTGAAACCCAGACCCGAGGGCCTGCTGCGCTACGACGCTTCGCGGCAACATAGCTACGGCAGCCGCAGCCGGGGCAGCGGGCGCCGCCGCCGCCGCCGCCGCCGCCGCCGCCGCCGCCGCCGCCGCTGTCTGCTGCTTCGCCGCAATTTCTCTCCCCCAGTCCGCCGCGATCCCGCTCAGCCAGCTAGGAAGAACGCCTCCGCCGAGGCTCGGCTCCCAGAGCTCCCGTCCGAGGCCGTTGCCCTTGCCGTCTCCCCTCTCGGCTCTCGACCTTGCGCGGTCTTCGGCCGCGGCGGCCCCGTCCTGGAGCAGCGCCACCGCCACCGCCGGCGACCAGTTCGAGTCATGGCCGGACTTCTCCTCCTCCGAGGGGGCAGCGGATTGCCGCAGCCACAGCAGCCGCCGCCGCCGCCGCCGCCGCCGCCGCCGCCGCTGGCGATTACCTGCCGTGCTGCCACCAACAGCAGCGTATCCGGAAGCAGAAGCGGTAGCCGTGGCCGTAGACGCTACCGCTACGGGAGCGCCTTCTTTAGCGGCGGGAGCGGGGCCACCAGCAGCTGCGGGCGGTATCCGACGGCTCAACGACGCCGGCCTCTTTGCCTCCACGCGCAGAGCTTCCTCAAGGAGTTCCACCAGCCTGGAGGGGCACCGTGGCGGGGGGGTCGGATCCTCAGGGTTTATGCGCCCCCCCCGCTTGGCATCGTCGCCGCCTTCTACTGTACCCTTCTCCTTCTCTTCCCCCTTGGCACCGTCGCCTTCTGCCGCGGCCTTGCCCTTCTCTGAGTCGGCTAGCCCCTTCCCGTCGTCGACTGCCGCCGCTCCGCCGCCCCCCGGCCCGGATTTCTTGGAGGGGGTCTTCCGTTTGTACGCAACGCTACCGCCCTTGGTCGTGGCGCCGATCCTCTCGATGTCATTCGCCGAGCCCAGGAGCGCCCTTCTTCTTGGTGCGCCTCCCCCGCCGGAAATACTACCAGCTGCGTCTCCCCCTCCTGACAGATTACCAGCTGCGTCGCCTCCCCCGCCCGACAGCAGGCTGCCAGCCGCATTGCTGCTGCCGGTCTTGGCGACAAGGTCGCCTCGCTGCTGATCCTGCCCCGCCGCCGTTGACGCCTGCCTAATTCCGCTGGCGCCGCCAGCGGGCTTGCCGTCGGCTGCAATCGGCGTAGACGCCGCCGCCACCGACAGCAGCTGCCGCCGCCGCCGCCGCCCCCGCCGCTGCGTGAGCTCGACTATCTCCACCTCTCTCCCCACCCCCGCCACCTCTGCCTTTGGCGCCGGTCCGGCAGGCGCTTTCTGCTCGACTGCACCGGTATGCGGCGGCGGCGGCGGCGGCACCGGCGGAGGTTCCGGAACAGGGGGCTCGTTGCCCTGCTGCTTATTCCTCCCGCCTCTAGCTTTCAGCAGGGAAATTGCCACCCTCCCCGCAGCCATGGCCGCCTGTGGAGCGCACACACACCCCCCGCCGCGCCGCGCGGAGACCACGAGCGGTACATGAACAGGGGTGACGCACAAGGGGGGTGGGTGTATTGTACTCGGTTACCGCTCTTCTTGCCCTATTGAGGGAGGCGTCAGGGAGCAGTGCTTCTGCTCGCCGGTATAGAGACAAGAACGTGTACAACGCTAACGCTTGACACTCTGTGCAAGCGTGGTATGATTGCCCGCGTTTTCTTCGTTTCAGTCTCTAGGACCGCAGAGACACGCCTACTACAAACAGAGATTTCTTAATTTCTTTCTACAGGGCGGTCGATCGGAAGCAATCGCCGTGCGAACAACTCCAAGCTTCCTACCACGTGGTGCTGCATACTTTCGAACTTTCTTCAGGAGCGGTCGACCAAATCGTTGCATGACGGCCCCGCAAATCACTTGTTTTCTTTGGTGACTAACCCCCCCCCGGGCCCGAAAAAAAACAAGTCAAGGATGGTAAAAAAAACTGGAAACGCAACATATGCATGCCTGCGACCAAATTGCCGCACGTTGACAAAAAAAATAGCACCAAGACACGAGTCATTCTCAACACTCCGGCGTCACAAAAAAAGAGCACCAACACGCGACGCATCCCACGACCAAACTGCGATAAAGACGACAAAAAAAAAACACGCGACTCGTCCGCACCTCCTTTCCCTGAACCAGCGTCAGCGGCTGGCCGTTAGTACCCTCGAGGGCCTTCTCGACGGCCTCCGCCGCCAGAATTTTTGCCGTGCCCGGCGAGACTCCGTTCTTTTTCGCTGCTTCCACCGCTGCCTCGTAGAACATCTGTCAAAAAAATAAGAAATAAAAAATCAAGCAAGAGGGTGGTGTGGTGCGGCGTCAAGAAAAGGGCCACAGGACGATTATGGCCAGCTAGCTGCCTTTGCACGGTCGTTGCCAACCCTCCCCGGGCAACCATAGCGCTGAAGAATACTACCGAACAACCAAAACACTGAACGCTTCCGAACGTACCGACGCTGCAAGCATAACGCTAATTATTCCGCACAACCCAAACACTAAATGCTCCTGATCGACCAAAAGACTCAACACCCCGCACAACCAAAAACGCCACGTACCACCGAACACACCACGCTCAACAACCAAAAAACGCCAAAGCCACCAAACCTGCATGCCAAAAACGCAAACTACCACCGAACATACATACCAACGCGAAACGACCCGAACAACCAAAAACGCTAAATAGACAAATTCCCCCCGCAAAAACCACGCAGACGATACATACACGCCGACGACACCTTCGCGTGTCCGTCAGCAGCCTCCTGCCGTCTGGCCTTGTTCTCCTCCTCCTTCCTCGTCGCCTCCGCCCGCTCCCGCAGCACCCTCTCCGAGTGGTCCGCCCACGTCCAGCCGGGCTCTCCCCACCGGGGGGGCCTGTGGGGGCGACAGTATCGCCCCGCGGAATCCTCCAGACGCTCCCGCCTCGCCCACTCGTCGAAGTACCTGGTTGGTTGGTTGGCCAATCAAACCGTGAGGCGGTGGTTGGTCAGGCGTTGTTGTTGTGGGCCGGTCAAATCGATTGGGTTTGAATGGCCAATCATAGTGCGAGGTTGCGTAGCGGTGATTGGCTGGCTGGCGTTGTTTCGGGTCCGTCAATTCGGATCATCATGGGTTCACTGGCCAACCAAATTCGAGGATGCACGCCTGTGATCGGCTGGTGTGCTGTCGGTAGATTTGATCAATCTATACAGCGAGGGGGGGGGGGGGATCACGGCCAGAAATGGGAGATCACATGGGGGGAGGACATGGGGACTTTCGTTCGTTTGCTGCAGGAAAACTCACAAAAACAAAATGGCTGTACTGCTTGTGGGAAACCGACAAAATTGTAGCACATTCGCTTGTACGTCTGGTCTCACTTTTGGTCCTGAGCGGTGGTGCTGGAGGTAGACACGGCCTGCAGCGACCCGCGTCGAGTGGCCTCGCTCGAGTACTTCTCCGCGCACAACGCGCCGGCTCCGTCGTCCCACGCGGCCCGAAGCGGCGCCAATTCCGCCGCCGCCATGGTGTGCGGTAGTCTGGCCTCGTCTTTGTTGTGACGGCCGGGTACGACGGGCGCTTGTAGCTGCTGCTCGTCGTGGTAGAAGGTCTCGATGAGAGAGAGCCCGATGCACGTGTAGCTTTTCGGTCGGTTCGGGACGATGAAGAGACGGGAAAAATGAAAACAGAACGAAACGGAGAGAAACGGAACGGAGAGCGACGGAACGGAAACGGGACGGGACGGAGAGATACAAAAGGAACGGAAACGGGACGGAACAGAGGTGGAAAGGGAAGGGGAGTGAAATGGAACAGGATCAGCGAGTGCAAGCGGGCGGGAGCGAACCGAACGGAATAAGACAATCTCAACCTTCAAAGCGATGCGTAGGGCTCTCGCCCTTCGTGCCGGGCGAGGTATGGACTGGCAAAAAAAAAATGACAAGAGACAAGGCAACAAGTTTGGTGACAAGGTATTGCGGTTCGTCCACCAACCCAGCACGTGTATTCCGGGCGACAACGTGGAACGAGAGATAGGTGCATCGCTACGTGGGACGGGGGGCGTTGGCAGCACTCACGAACACGACCCCTGGATACACCAGCACATGTTTCACCCGACACGGGTTGAAAAATTTCAAAGGAGGTCCTCTTCGAGACGCTTCGTGGCCGGCGGTATTGATGAGCATCATTAAGATTGGGTGGTGACAATCCGATCTCTCTCCCCCTCCGTTTGTAAAAGTGTATTGATGACCATGTTCAACTTAGAGTCGTGGCAAATCCCCCTCCGTTTGTAAAAAGTGTAATGTAATTGTGAGGACCTTCAACGTCGCGTAATGATAATCCTATCTCTCCCTCCCTCGGTTTGTAAAAGTGCATTGATGATCATCTTCAACATCGAGGTAGTGACAATCCTATCTCTCCCTCCCTCGTTCTGTAAAAGTGCATTGATGATCATCTTCAACATCGGGTCGTGACAACCCCCCCTCCGCGTGTAAAAGTGCATTGATGATCATCTTCAACATCGAGTCGTGACAATCCCATCTCTCCCCCCCTCGTTTTGTAAAATAAAAGTGTAATGATGATCATCTTCAACATCGAGTCGTGACAAATCCCCCTCCGTGTGTAACAGTGCATTGATGAGGACCTTCAATCCGTAGTCGTGACAATCCCATCTCTCTCCCCCCCTCATGCCTCTTACATGCCCTCCGCCTCCAGGAGAATCTCCCCACCCAGCGCAACCGTGTGGAATTCTACTACGCCCATGGATTCCGACATGTCTTTCCCAATCTTCTTGACGGGAACCACGACGTGCCCGCGGGACGCTACACACTGAAGCCGGACCTGGAAACGGATGAGAGAGACAAACCGGCCGCATCAACCGTCCATCTTGGGACATTGAAGGCACACACATGCTCAACACATGCTGGAACCCTTTTCGCAACTGCAGTACGTACAGTAACCACCATCACGTTGAAAGACCTGGCCGGAGACGAGAACTTGAGGAAGCCCACAAGCATGAACAAAATTAATAAACTGGTCGAACCAACAACAGTTAAGAAGGTGAGTTACCCCTACGCCCTCCTATGCCACTAGAGTGCAATGTCGCAATACCGTTTCAAAGTGGAAAACCGCGAAAAAAAAGTAGAACACCTATTCGGAACGGAACAACTACTACATTAATCCGAGATCTCACTCGGTTTTCTCAGTTGAGATCGTCGATTCCCGGCGTGATTCCGTTTCTAAGTGGACAACCGCGAAAAAAAAAAGTGGAAGGCCAACTCGAATGGCAAACCTAATTTGATTCGTCGACGTCTCTCTCGGCTTTTTCGTACCTCCATGAGCTCGTCAACTCCCAGCGTGATTCCATCTCCCCTCCGCTGGTCTTCGTTGAAAAAAACAACAGTGAGCCGTACCGTGTAAAACCCCGGCCGTTCCACGGGAAGCCTGACGTGCAGCCGAAAAAGAACCGTCAGTGTTCTGACTGTATCCGCTATCAACTGTACACTGGGCCATCACATCTAGTTGCCGTGTTTCCAGAGTCACTTTGATCGAGGGAACTTAGAGCGGACAATGAACCCTTCTCCCAAAATTGAGTCACAAACAGCCTCGTAAGGTTACAATACAGACCAAACCAGCGGTAAACCTTCAACTTACGCCGCGCAGCAGGGCACGGCGCCCGTTGGTCAGCAGTCAGCCTGAAACGTAGCGGCATGCCCTGTACTATGGAGCTGGCGGTCCCGACCCAGAATCCACGGCGGCTTTCTTTCGAAAACCACCTTGTGTTTAGTTACCTCTTCTTGCCTTATTCGTGCTTCGTAAGTATGTACCTCTTCTTGTACAAAACATGTGAATCATCAACATGTACCTCTTCTTGTACCTCGTGAATAGTCAACATGCATCTTCCTCTACCTCATTCGTGTGCTTTGTCTGGCGCTAGCGTGAGGCGTTGTGATTCCTTCTGCCATCGCCTGGATCCGTACCGAATACGGTAAGGACGAAGACTCTGAGAATTGAGAGGCGAGGCAGGTCCAACTAAAATGCGATGATGGCAACTCAACAACAAAGGCAACAGTGGCAACAACAACAGCAGCTACAACCACACTAAGCGGCGTGTACCCCCACACCTAGGTATAGCTGTGGCAACGACAATCCCCCCTGTCCTTGAAGGTGAGAGGGCAGACAGGTCCATCTACAGAACAACACAATTATAACTACTACTACTACAAAGCTACGTAGAATGCAAAGCCACGCGCAGACACAGACCGTAAGAGAGAACTCACCTGTAGTAGAAGAGCTGCCCCTGATGCCATCCCCCTTTTGCCGCCTGCTCGAGTTCGTCCTTGCAGTTCTTCTTCTTGCCGTCCACCACAACCGCCACCATCGCCGGAGTCGCCGTGAAGTCGGCGTCGGGGAACTTTTTCGAACCAAACGAAGGGGCGACGAAAAGAGAGACCGTTTTCGTTCCGAATCATTCAAACGCGCTCCAAAAGCTTGTTGCGCTGGGCAAACCGGTAAACAAGTAGTCGCCGCCAACTCCACTTTAGGGAACTTCGAACCAAGCACAAACGCGGCGCAAGGGAGTGAGAGGACTGCCCGCGCGAAGAGAATAAGTGAACAGTAATGTGAAAAAATTCCAGGCTAGGGCCAGGCAAACCTCAACTCTAGCTTAGCCGATTCTACACTTTTACCCAGTATGATTGCTTGCTTGGAAAAAAGGGCGTGGGGTACTGGGAGTGAGAGCTCGTTCCACATCATTCAAACATTCTCCAAGTTTGCTGGGGGAAACTGGTACACAGGTACTGACCACGGTAGGTAACAAGTTCGGTCGCGGGTTTCCGACCGAATCATCATCCTACGGTGCGGAATACCGCGGCTGTCGGAGAGCAGGAGCAACCAAGTTACGTCGATCTGCAACGAGACCCCCACGGGCTTTTGGGGGGGGGACGGGAAGCTTTTTCCAAGTATTGAAAACTCTGCCAGACACAATAAAAAACCCGGCGGGTCTCTCGCCAACCCATGCGCACTCTTGTCCGCTTTCCCGAACCAAGCAGCACCGTGGACTTGCGGCGGGATCTCTGGTGCACCTCTTCCTCCGGAGTGGTAATCTGTTCTCCCGAGTGATTGGGTTCCCGCCCGTACAAAAAAAAACCCCGCACTTCTCTGTCTGCGAACCGCCCGTTCCCCACAAAACAAAGTCACACCAACGGTATGCGAGAAAAGTTATCACGCATACACTTTGCCCCCCCTTCCCCCCCCTCAAGAGGCCCCAATTCTAGAAACATGTTCTTATTTTCCCCATGAGTTTGTGTTAGTTTTGTTCACCGTATGCATTCAATAGTGCAATCCAAACCTGTTTAGCCTGTCGTGCACAGATCACACACAGTGTGGCACAAAACGCGCCTTGCATGCCTGCCCATTGAACGCGTTGTTGCAGAAATCACACCTCAGCTACACGACATCGTCGTATCAATTTTCAGTGACTCTCATCACGCCTGCCTCTACGCGCGTGGACGAAGAACCCCAATGCTTGACGGAAACCCAGTGCGGTACGTACGTCATGTAGGAGCTCGCAATCAGCTGAGAGTGCTACGATCACCTACCGTTCCGCCAACCACTTCCCGACATCCTCGCACGCGAAACTATGTCAAAATCAATACGAAAGCCGTTTCGGGGTGAGTTTGCGCCCCGTCAAGCGTACGTCCGGCTCCTCGTTTTCCTCCTCCTGCTTCTCCTCCTCCTCCTCCCCCTCGTCCTCAACCTCTCCCCGTCCTCCTCGTCTTCTCACCCTTACTCCAAACCCTACCCGCCTCTCTCCCTCTTCCTCACACTGCCCTCTCCCCTTCTTCTCTGGACTCCGAGTTTACGTCTACTACGGAGCGCCGAGAACACTTTTGGCCATAGTCTTGCCCCGCAACAGCCTGGGCTTGTAGGCCTATGACACCCCCTGAGGGTGCGCTGATCACGCCCTCCCTCCCGCCGTCTAGGTGTGGCACGCCGTACAGCGTACGGGCGCGGCGAGCGCGGACGAGCGCGCAAGGCTAGGGTCACGCCGATGCACAATACCCCCACCATACCGACATGGTGCCCCTTAGTATATAAATGAACTTGTATGATCTGGTTTACATAGGATTTGGTACTGCGTTCGGTGTGTGTGTGTGTGGGGGTCACTTCGTACCCTTCCCCCCCCCAAAAATCCTCCAAATAAGAAAGGTGAGTACCAAGGTGTGTAAATACCTTTCTTTGAACACCCTTAGTCACACCTGTCTTGCCCATGAATTTAGCGACAGCGAAATCGCGGCAGAACGCTCTTTCCTCTCCCCCCCCCCCTCTCTCTCTCTCGTGCGGCAGAACCTCTGTCTCACCTTTTCTCTGCTCCGCAGGGTGTTGCCCTCGAATGGGACTCCGCAGATTGTTTGCCCCTTCCCTGCGATGACAACGCCTCCGGTCCTGGTGCCCCACCCTATGCTCCCTTTCGCAGCCTGCTCAAACATAGAGAGACAATACAGCAAGGGGAGGGGTTACAGTCAACCAAACCACACCGAACGAGATCTAGGTCATACGTCACTCGGAAAAAGAACGACGGCCTGCGGGGGGAAAAGCTTCGTTTCGGATCACACTGTCGGGTTCCTGTCTAGTCTGTCTCACAATGAACGCCGAAACCGCCTCTGCCCACGCGTGCAAGCGGTCAGCCCTCCCCTCCGCCCCGTATCTCTCCGGGATAATTGTCTGGAAGAAGGTCTTCAGCCATGCAAGTGGGGCAAACAAAAAAAAAAGCGGCGCAATAGCGGTGACGGGGAACATGAAGCGGCGGAATAAAAGTCCGTGGGAAGGTCTTCAGCAAGGCGAGAAGAAACAGGCTGGGCAACAAAAAAAAAACGCGGCGGGATAGCGGTGAGGGGGGACACGAGGCGCGGCGGAATAAACATCCATAAGAAGGTCATCAGCAAGGCGAGAAGAAACGGGCGGGAAATAAAAGAAAAAGCGGCGCAGTAGCGGTGAGGGGGGACACGAGGCGCGGAGGAACAAGCGTCTGGAATAAGGTCCTCATTCATAGGTGACACAAGATATCACACTCCCTGAACCGACTTTCAAAGCTCGATTTCTCCACGGAGAAGAGGATATATATCCATCAGACAACACGTTTCCGGAAAGCTCTCGACGAGAACGTTCCAACCCCGCCATATTCGACACCGCCACTTTTAGTTCCGTGGATACATGGAGCTTTGCAAATCGCTCCGGGTGTGTTATCCAGGGTCACCTACGGCATGTCTCCCGTCGGCTTGCTAACCGACCGTACAGGCGACACCAACACACGCCGAACCGACTTGTCAAAGCTCGAGTACTCCACGACAGAGAATACTGCAGTAACATATAGGAAACCAATGATAAGTTTTGAGTTGTTGGGGAGCTCTCGGTTTCGGAGAACTCTCGACGAGACGGTCCCAACGTCGCCTTGCTCAGCACCGCCACTGCTGTTATTACCTCTGTAGCGTAGACGAGATTTGCACAGCAGCTTCAAAAATCGGACCGCACAGAAACCTTAAAAGATCCGGCTTGTGCTATAGCTCACCGATGTCGTTTGGAAAATGGCGGACCGCTAATAATCTGTAGTGTACCGCAAGGGCTTCAATCTCAGATACTGCCATTGCACAACGGCGACCGCAGCTCACGGTTATTTTGCGATTGTATTCGTACTGGAGTTGGACTTTGAAAATTAGATATGCAGGCGTTTCCTGGATTTTTCAGATACGAGGAAATGCGATCCCCCAACCCGCCCTTATACCCTTTGGGGCTAAAAGGGAGGAGAGAGAGACAGAAGTGCAGCAGAAAGAGACAAGTGTACTTCTGTAGAGGCAACAGCTATCTCCACCCATACAGTTGACCATGAGGGCAGCCCGCGACAGGACGGTGGGCACAGACAGAGTCATAGAAAGGTTGATGCGTGGTCGCGGTGCGGCCGGTAGGGCAGGTTAGGCTTGTAGACCTTGAAAAGATCAGTCGTCAAGCTGCCTAAACTACTCTATGATCAGTATATTCAAATTATCAGTGAAAATTATCAGTGACAGCGCTTGTAGACCCATAGCTGGTTCTTGCTTCTGTACTTCTCTGTCCCCTCCCCAATGTGCTCCTGTGGTTTTCCCACAATTCCCACCAGCACGCAAGCACACCAGCACACACCTACCTTTGCATCAGTGGCTCTCTAGGTTCGGGCGAGGGTATGTGTGGGGCTGTCATGACAGTGTATGTGTTACTGTACCGTTGGACTCGTACTTACTGCTGCTGCTGCGTATTAGTATAGTTGCTGATAAGATGACTGCTGGATCTTGGGAGTGTACGATCTTCAAATTTGGAGAATATGCAGCATACCACGATATCCTGGCCTGGTTGGGCTTGAAATACCCCTTTCTGCTGTCCTCCGCCTGTGGCTTCGTAGATTCGGGCGACGGCATGAATGTGGAGCTATTCATGTGTGTCTCTTGTGAAAGGAAATGGGGAGAGATTCATGGTGGCATTCGCATTTAGCGCATTGTGCATTTTTCGAATTTTGGCCGTGCCCAGGGACCTCGATTTTACCCGCTGGCACTCACGTCTTTCATTGGTCAAACGACACACCTACCCATGGACTTGCCAACACCTGGCGTGGAGGGATACAGGGCATGCCACACACCAGCATTTGCAAATGATCAATCAATGATCTGTCACGACGCCTGTAGACCCAAGAGGGTTAAGTGCGGAGGCGTTCTGTATGCACCTTTCGTTTTTCGTTCCGACTTCCCGCAAATCTCCCGCTGGAATCGGATGAATTTGATTTATTTTTATTTTTCTTAATATGACACAACGAATCCATCGCTATCATAGAAAAAAGTCAGAGACAGATTAGCAATGAATTCATAGCGTCAGAAAAAACTACCTGTATGTCTACGATTTCCCAGACAGAATAGAGGGAATTTAATTTTCGAATGTCCAAAACCTCTATCTACAGCAGCAGTACAACCGAGCGTCCAATACCTCTACAACGAGATTGCATCTCGTTCTGCTGTTGAGCTGCAACACCAGCATCACCGGCGAAAGAGGCCGCCCACCTCGCAGGCTTGCAGGGGGTAAATGTTTTTCTAGCATGTGGGCTAACATGATGATGGTTCATGCTACATACGCATATGTACCAGAGGACCAGAGGGGGTGCAAGGGTAGGAGCGCACCCGTAGGATTGAGAACCTTTTCGGCGCATTACGGAACAAGATTTAGGCCGCGGTTGGCACCGGTGCAAGACAACCGATTCAGAAACTCTCAGCTCTCAACTGCAGCAAAACCCAGTCCGCCCTTCTACACGACGGCAGCAGTTTGACGGCAGCAGTTCGACGGCAGCGTTTTGCAGCATGCGCACATTTGCTGGGCTCTTTGGGAACAACGGCGGCGGGGCATGTTCGACAGCAGTGGCAGTTGGGATCAGAGCCCAGCAAGAGACGGCGAACATGCCCGTTCTGGCTGCCAAACGCAATATACTACGCCTTCTGGTACGCGGCGCGCGCTCTCTCTCTCGCATTCCCCAACTAGAGGCCTCTGGCAAGGGTATGGGCACGCACGCAGTACATCTAGCGGTCTAAAACATCTGGTTTGTTCACCGCCCTCACCGAAGCTGACGACGAGGACGACCTCCTGAGGCAACACAGCTGCAAGGCGGTTGACAGAAAACCAACCACTATCAGAACGCGCGGCCATCGCGGCCACTTCACGTTGCTGCCGATCGCCCACATATTCCCGCTGCTTTATCCTCCTCCAGTGTTACATTGCGTTACGAAGGCTATGGATCAACGATATTGGGCTCAGGAAAGACTCTTGTCAAGGCATCAGCGAGCGGGGCTGGGGCGAGGTTGAGAGGGGTTGCGTTATTAACGTTTTCGCCCAAGAGGAAGAATAATGACGAGAGGCGTTTGTTGTTTTTGCACGAGTGCCGCGTCTCCGGAGAACGCTATAGACGCCGACCCAGCCCTTGACTTCCTCTCTAGCCTTACACACTGCTCGCAACCCTGACTTGAGCTGTAGTCTATATTACTGACTCGAGCCCTTGTTTGAACCCTGACCAAAGAGGCACGGTCTTCGCTATCCCCCTCCTTTTTTGCGCTTCTCATCAGAGACACTATCTCTAGACTGTACATACAGCACCGACGATTTACGTACCTGTCTGTGTACATAGTCTAGTACACGCCCCGCCATCATGGTTCCTACTCGACAGAATACATGACAACCAAGCCCGGCCGTGGCTGCCGTACGCGCCCCGATGTTCTCTGGAGATCCGAAGGGCCCCCTTGAAGAGATCAACGAGCACGCACGAAGAGAAGCGGTCATCGCGAGGCGCACCGGAGGCCAACAACAGGCGGTGATGATCTCAAAAGCCGCCGCCCACAACTGCGAGGCCTCTTCGATGTGGTGAGTTACATACTGTAAATATTTGTTGTTGTTTCTCACATTCGCTCTATAGTCTGTACAGAGTAGTGTACACGACATACCGCCCTAGGCAAGAGCCGCCCAACGCTTACGTGGGTCGTTCGTCTGTATATATACAGAAAAAAGTGTGGATCATTTTTTAGCGGATTGGTTCGGACCAGGGATGTTTGTAAAAGTCCTAACTCTGTTCCGGATGCGTACAGAGATGAGCAGACCGTTTTGGAGGAACAAGCACATGCAATCTCCTCTAGAACTAGAACAACGTGCTTCTCTGTAGCCCCCAGTGGGGCCGCCCCGTTTTTGTGACAAAGTATTTTGACCTCGGCAGAACGTTTCAAATTTGAACGCCTGGGCTCGCTTTATCGCCTCTCCCCCGCCAGGTGCTTGAAGTGGAACCTTGGAACAAAGAACGCCATGCGAAGATGTCGTTGGCCTGGCGGGACTGTGGACAGCGTCCCTGGGCCTCCTAAGAAAAATTCGCGCGCCGACGCGGCAACGCAGCTTCGCATCCTCCGACTGGTGCGCCAGCTGAACGACCCAGGTGCAAGGCTCACCTGGAAGCAGTTTATAGAGGTCAAGGAGTGGAGAAGGTTGCAGCCAAGCTTGCGGCCGTTCCGCGTACAGGCCGGGACATCAGCGGGTCGAGAAAGAGGGCGTCAACGCCTAACGCTTCAGTGGGAGCGGGGCACCACCGCCACACCGACGACCCGCGTACGCGTGCGGACTTGATCTACTTTCCCTCTACATCGTCTTTGGGAAATTTTGACCGCTACTACTCACGCCTGACCTCCTGCCTGTCCTCCTTCAGCAGTAGTTTCTCCTCTCCGAGGTTGTATGCATACACACTTGAGCGTCGTTTCTAGAAGCATCTATGTCTCCTGTTGCTCTTCGGAAGCTAGCTGACGCTGGCAGGACAACATTCATTCCAAGTAGATATGACACTTGTACCGTAGGTCGCATAACATACCACACCCTGTGGACCAATTTCAGAGCTTGATTGGTGCTCCGCGGAAGCAACAGCGACGGTGCCAAAAATAGAGGCATTGGAACTGCGTCATCCGAGGGCTTAACTCCTAACGTGCATCGTTTGACTGAGCAGTCAAACGGCGTGCTGTGGCATCCCCTTTGTCGTGGAGAAGTTGAGCTTTGGCAATTGGGTCCAGGAGGTGTGATATATATGTTGCAACCTACGGTATGCATGCACACATACCTTTTCCCTCCCTGTGAATTGGCTCTCAATTTGCAATCTGTACTCTCTGCTCTGCATGCACAATGATGCAGTCTGGTTTTGATAGGTTGGTTGCGCGCGAAGGTTCATGATTTGGGGGCGACGTAAAGCTCGGCATTGTACAGGGTCGAAGAGGCAGAGAGGAATCCACAGAACGTGCGTTAAGAGCTGACATGAAGCATATGTGCATCTTAACAAAGTACAGCCGTTGAGCTGTTGGACCTCGGAATAACCCCAGGGTTATATTCCCTGCAATCAGCGCTGCCACATGCGGTTCGTCGACTTACAGGCGGGAATATGTGCCTTCACCGTCTTTCAGGCGTGCATCCCAGACGTTTTTCCCGGAAAAAAGGCGTCACAAATGGTCCACGAGGGATTCAAAACCCAGTTGTACCTGTGTTAAGATGTTCAGCATACCTACTATATGCTACAAGTCAGCGTATGGTGTACGTCTTAACCCTTTTGAGTCTTCAGGCGTTCTCACTGATCATTGATTGATCATTTGCAAATGCTGGTGTAGTGGCAAGTCGTGGAGTTGCCGCCCTGCAGCCCTTCGCGCCGTGTATTGGCAAGTCCATAGGGTAGGTGTGTCTAGATTATTAGCATCCACGCTAACCGGCTGACCAATGAAGAGACTTCAGTGACAGCGGGTAACATCAAGGTCTCGGGAATGGGAATGGGGCCAATCAATGCCAAATCATGAATCTCTCAACGTATGCACATGTCAATGAACGCGTGTGTGCATACAGTACATACATACATACATATATGTGTTCTTTCGAAGCACCACACATACACTCGCCCGAACGTAGGAAGCCACTGCTGCAAAGAGCAGAGGACAGCAAAAGGGAGGGGTATTGCAGTCCCTGCCGAAGCCCAGATATCGAGGATATCGTGGTTCCCAACAATTTGAAAATCGTTCCCAAGATCCAGCAGTCATTGTGTCAACAGCTACAACGAACGCTACAACAACACTACTACTACTGCTGTAGACGAGTAAAACATATCAGCAACACATCCACACTCGTAGCGCCACACATACCACCCTCGCCCGAACCTAGGAAACCACGAGGTACAGGTGTGTGCTGGTGGATGTGCTTGTTGTTTGAAAAACACAGGAGCTCTAGAGAGTTGGCAGGGCACATTTCGGGGGGGGACAGAGAACAGAGAAGTACAGAAGTACAAATACCAGCTATGGGTCTTCACTGATCATTTTGCCCTCTCTGGACTGATCATTTACAATATACCGAAAAATAGACTAAGTTGAGGCAGCTAGACGACTGATCATTTTCAAAGGCTACACAGCTAACCTGCCCTACTGACCGCAGCGCGACCACCCACCAACCCTTCTACGACCCTGTCTGTGGCCACCACCCTGTCGCCGGCTTCTCTCATGGCCTACAGGTGGAGATAGCTGTTGCGTGTGCAGAAGTACACTGGTCTCTTTCTCTGCACTTCTCTCTCTCCCGCTCGCTCTCGCTCTCATTTTTTTTTTTTGGCGCCAAGTTGGCGCAAAAAACAAATCTGACAGTCCAGCCTAGACCCAAAGGGGTTAAAACGTGCCTTGAATCTAGCATTCATTGCCCCAAGAGCTGCAAGCGTCTTTCAGGGATTCCAAGGGCGTCGCTTGTCCGACTAAAGTCAGCAGAACACGACCGGGCGGCAAATAGTGAGTACCATCGGTGTTCTACTCCTGTAGACTACACAAATGCGGTCTTCCGTTCTACGAACACTTTTTCTGTTTCATCAGGATGAGGACACTGGCTACTGTCGGAGACAGAGGCCGGTGCCGTGGCAGTATTATCCCACTGCCAGGGGAAGGCTATTTCCTCTCGTGATGTGTAAACGAGGAGAAGAGGGTAGAAAGAGAGAGTGGCCATAGCGGCAGAGGGAGAGGAGAGTCGAAGACTCTCCGCTTCCACTTCCGGCAAGTGGCCAGGGACTTCGGAAGATATCCATCTCCGACGGTGCATTTCCTGTCACTCTCCTTGTGACAAGATACCCCGAGGGAGCCATATCTTCCTACACTTTGTATGTGCACACATGGTTGGTTATACTCCTGACAGGTGTCCTCCACATCACCCCCCCCTCTATGCGCCACAAGTCCATCTGTGCTAAAGATGTGCTTTTGGCGGCCATAGCCATGAGTGGCTCATGGAGACACATGTATTGGAGTTAACCTACCTGGTACAACATCATCAACTCGGCCTGATGTACTTGTGTTAAGATGTTCAGCATACCCACTATGCTACAAGTCAGCGTATGGTGTACGTCTTAAAACGTGCCTTGAATCTAGCATTCATTGCCCCAAGAGCTACAAGCGTCTTTCAGGGATTCCAAGGGCGTCGCTTGTCCGACTAAAGTCAGCAGAACACGACCGGGCGGCAAGTAGTGAGTGACATCGGTGTTCTACTCCTGTAGACTACTTGTACACAAATGCGGTCTTCCGTTCTACGAACACTTTTTCTGTTTCATCAGGAGCTTGAACTAATCTACTACAAACGACGGACAACACGCGAGCTAAAAGGGTTCGTGTCTTGCTGATTTTTTTATTTTGGTAAAAGAAAATAAAGTCGAAAAAACAAACTGAGATGGCCGCGTGCGATAAAATCCTGTTCGCTATTTTGCAACATCAAAGTAGTGAGCGCACACGGCGCAAATGGTCTGTGAACAGAAAATTGGCAATCCACCCTCAGCATCATCGCAATGCCCCAGTGTGAGTTGGATTGGCGTATGCATTTCACTCCGTATTTCGCGTCAGAGATGATCGAGCAAGACAGAATAAACAGCAGCGACCAAATATTCCATATTCTCGAAACTTTGTTTCCAGAGCAACAAACCTCGTTCGTTGCACCGCTCTCTATTGCTAGTAGTGGTGGAAGCAATCGGCCCATGAGTTCGGTTGCCTACGCCTGGGGGTACGATAACCGTGTCGATGCACATACTGCTGTACACCGAGATAATTCACTACTGTGAAATATCCCGTAACTTCCAGCTGCAAGGTCGACCGGGAGGAGCTGCAAGCACGCCTTAGAACTGCACTGCTAATGTGCTCCTGGCTGGCTTCATCACTGTCATCCTCGTTTCCTGCCGAAATCGCATTCGTTAAAGCGGCGGTAGCGGCGGGGAGTGGGGGGTTAACCAGCAGCGGTGGTAGAACGAAGGGCAAGGCTTCTCCAAGCGATTGGTCTTGTGCCTTGTGCCTTCTTCTACTATTATACGTCGAACAATGCTTTGAACGACGCTACATATGGTACAGCCGTCAACCACGGATTGCAAGCGCGCGATGCTGAAGAGCTGAGAGCCCCAAGAGAGGTTTTGGTGTCACCGTTGAGCACGAGAGAAGGCGATGGCTGTGTCCTCGCACATCCCGCCACGAAGGACTTTCAAGTGCGCTCACGCTGCGCGATGATCACTCCTCAAAACCACCAAAATACAACCAGTCCCACCTCCCGACGACGCAAATCCTCGGGAAGGAAGAAGTTGAACGTACCCGGTGGCCTCCATCCTGTTTGACGGCGCCCCCGTCGCAAGTCTTGGGCGGGGACGGCGGTAGGCCTTGGTGAACAAGACGGGGGAGAAGGTGCACAGCTTGAGCTCCTCTAGCTCGTCCCTCTCCCGCTGGGACTGCGGTGTGTCCCGAGGGGAGTCGTTCCTCTTCCTGTGTGCCCGAACGGGATGCGGCGCGGGGGAGGAATAGGCCACTATATTCGTCTCAGGTCGTACGCAATGGCGGGCACAAAGCGGTACCTTAGTCCTGAAGCAACGGTATTGGGAGTGCAACGAAACGCGCCAAGTGCTTTTTTTCTCCTGCAAGTTCTACGGCCTCTCGTACCGCGGGAATCCTTGTGGGTTCTTCTTTCTAAACGTGGCAATGACATGAGCAATAATTTTGTCAGTACCAGTAGTCTCTAACACCATCGTTACGGCCGAAGGTGTGTGAGGTAAGCACCCCGCATGCAACAGGCGAGGTACATGTTGATGAAATGATGTCCGCCTTGACTCACAGCAACATAAAGGCTGTGCTTCGTCTTTCGGCGCCAAACGAGAATGATGACTACCTCCAAGAGCATTCATAATCCTTTGTGCGGTGTTGGCACCCCCATTCGGCCCCAAAACACAATTTCCCAGGCACACGAGGGGACGGTGGTGAGCATATCCGCTCCCGACTCAGAATATCAGAGAATACCCCGTCTAGGGTACTTGCTTGTTGGCGGAGATCAGGCACGGTCCATGTTGGTGTAGAAGGGGCACGGGTACCAGCACGTCACTGAACGCTTGTAGTACAATTCTCCACCTTCTACAACAAATTCCGCTTTTTATTACCACATCAAATACCATCTTTGGTAGTCGCACACAGCTCACCTCTGCTGGCGATGGCCCAGCTCGAACAGCCTCTCACACGCCGGCGATTCGCGCCCACTTTCGCCGCCACCATGGCCGTCGTTGCCGTTGCCGTCGTACCCCCCCCCCTGCTTGCGGCGCCTTCTTCTCGGAGAAAACCTCGATTCTCGGTACGGGATCCTGGCGCCCTCCTCGTCGACTTCCGCCACGGGAACGGCGTCAGCGGCAGAGGCAGCAGCAGTGCTAGCGGCAGCCGCGAGCTCGCGGAGAAAGTTCTTGTCGGCGGCGTGGTGCGCGGCGGTGTCGGAGATACCAGCGACGCTGCCCTCATCGCTGCGGCGACCTTTTTGGGTGACCGCCCAGTCGCCGCTACCGCCCGGGGCACCGGCAGATGGCCTTCTCGGAGGGGGGGGGCGGTTTCCGTCCTTTCCGTATCCATCATTCCCAGGATTGCTGTGGTAGGAACCGGTTTGCGGTGGAGGCGGGGGGGGGAAGTTTGAGACGTTCTCTTCCGATCGGGGGGCTCCGCCGTAGGAAGAGGGGGGTGGGTGTTGCGGGTGCGGCTGAGATTGTGCGGCGAAGGTGCCGCCGCCGTTCTGCGTTGACCCGGCGCTGTTGCTAGCATGCCCTGGTGGACGTTTGCCGTTCCCATGCACGTTGACCTGTCAGAAAAGGCGGAGGTAGCCGCGCGCGCAGGAGAGGCCAAAAGTTATTCGCTTGCCTTTCCGGCCGGCGCACACACACCATGGGGGAGAGGAACACGATTCTTTTTGGTTCGAAGACTACCCTATAAGGGTTTACAGAATGCCATGGTTTTCCAAAACAGATGGCGTTCCTCTTTGCGATACGTGAAATCTTCAACGCAACCTGACGCGCGTACATACCTCGTGCGTCAGGGACATCTTCTGAGCACACGACGGGCCTTATGGTCCACTGCACTCCTACCGCAGGGCCAAAATCAATGTCTCTCACCTGGGGCCGAAAGGTGCACCCTGGGGGGGTCATCTTCCCGAGCATGGCTTTCCTTTGCTTCGCCTCTTCGCCGGCCGCTACTAACCTGTCGAAAACGCTGCTGCCGTTGTCCCTGCTGGTGTTTCTGCAGCCGTTGTTGCTGTTGACGCTCCCGCTCCTCACGCCGCGGCGGTCGCCGCCGTTGCGTTTAGCGGTGCCCCCGGAGTATGTTGACCTCCTGCGTGAGCAGTACACAAGCACGCAGCCAATGCCTCCGGATCGGTCGAACCTACTGTACTTCGTAATTTTCGCTGTAATATTTTGCGTCGGCCAAGGTCTCATTTTCACGGTACTTGAAAATTATATACGTGGGCCGAAGGTTTCGCTGAACTTCGTGTGGTCATGTGTCGAACCGGGATCGTTCTCGCCATCTTCTTGTGACAGCACCAATGGCGTCGGTGGAACGGGGTACGAAGCTCTCGACGGCGGGACTCGGCAGCATGCCCCGTCGTCGACAGCCTCAGTTAAGTGAGGATCCTTGTTTGCAACGGCCTACATAGAAGTACGACTGCCTGCAGGTCTCAGTGCCTTAAAAAATCATAGCCGATAGAGTTGATCCCCAACTTGCCTGCAAGACTGCCGTGCAACGAGCCCCTTGATTCGACTCTCCCCTCACTCACCCTCGCCCCTGGAACGCAGCAGCGCAGGACGCGGCGGGGGCGTGATTCACCTCCGGCTGAAACGTACACCCCACGGTCTCCGCCTTCCGCCTCTCCGCGACTTCCTCTCTCCTCCTCGCCCTGACGTGCTCCGCCGCCTGATAGAGCCTCTCGTGAGCCGCCGCCGCCGCCGCCGCCGCCGCCATGCCCCCCTCCCTTCCCGACGCCTCCTCCTCCTCCTTCTCCTCCTCCTGTGGTGTCGTTCGCTTCCACCTCACCGCGGATGAGCTCCGCCGCCGTGCTCCTCCGTTCTGACCTTCTGCGGGAGGGGGGGGGGGTACTCATTCAATCGGGGGAGGGGGTACTGATTTGCAGCATCCCTTGGACATTCTGACCAAGCGCGGTTTGCCGTATTATGGAGCGCAATCCCTCTTCAGAGTTGACATACATTAAACACGTTTTCGCGAGCACGGGATATTTGAGTTTGATGTGAAGGTACCAACTCAAGCATTGTAGTTTCACATGGATGTCCAATTCGAAACAGGTTGATCTACACACACCAATTTCCGTAACGCTAGGATTTTCGCGACCTAACTACCGCAGTACCAGATATGTTTCATGGGAGGGGGAATAAAGCTTGTGGTTCCGTGCAACCGTGCCGCCCCCAGTGGAAAGAGACGAAACAGCTACAGTATATCAAGAGGTTTCGCTCGCGGGACTTCGGGTGCGAAATTAAATACACGACCGCTTTGTACGCCGCGTCAGTGAAGAAGCGCGAACGTTTTCTATGCCATAAACCACTCCGGTCCCTCGTGGCTACTGCGCGCTCCCTCGTTGTAGGGGGGGGGGGGGTGTTGCCAGCGTGCTCCGAGCTGCTGGTAAGCCACGAGAGCTCTGCGCGCCTCAACAACCCCGCGCTTGTTCGGCAACACAACCTTTCTCGCGAGCGTGACGAAACTGATCATTGTTATTACCAGATCTCCCATCATATTTACATCTCGTCGTACTATTACCATTATAATGTATTGATCAAGAACGACCTCTCAGCACACGAGGTGGCTAGACTAAGACGACTACCGCCCCCTCGGCTCTCGTGACCCACCACCCAGGTATGTCCGGCCTGCACGACCGAGATTCTGGCTGTTCTGGTCCAGCGTTGGTCGAAACGTGCAGCCCTTTAGCTCCAGTCTGGCCCTCTCTTGCCGCCTGAGGTCGGTTTTCGTGCAGAAAATGATAGTAATAGTTGTTTCTGCAACAAATTTTCGCATGCAGGAGGCCTGCCGGTTTTCGGGAGTCGTGATGCGGAATACAACGTGGGCCATCCAGCTGTGTTGTGAGGACCATGTTGTCACGAACAACCTCAAGATTTTGGAACTTGCCCGGTTCCACATCTCTAGACGGTGGAGAGATGAAACCTCGCAAGCTAATTAAACTGATTGACCAATGAATGAGATCGTTGTCATCTACACAGTCGGGTGGAATGTGGACAAAAAAGTACGCGGAAACCAAGTCGGATGTTTCGTGCCGGTACGTGCCCATGTGTGCCCAACATGTTCGCGTTAACCCGCATCGGGTGTTGCCTGTGTTAGGGCGAACCTTCGGGCACGAAACCGTTTCGTCGAAGAGAACCTCTGTCTTGCCGAACGAGACCATTGGGAGTCAGCTGGACGACACCATCGGACCACAACTACATTGCTGGTACGAGACCTACCTTCTCGCCCAAACTTGTTGTTGTTCGTCATGTCCGCGGTAGAGCCTCTCCGCGTACGACGGCGTCCCCACCGCTCCCGTGCGCCCCCCCGCCCCCTCGGAAAGACCGCTCCGCGTCACCCCCCTAGACCTCGATGGCAAGCTTCTGCTGCGACGATGATAATCTCTGCGGTTGCAGCCGCCGGGTCTCCTGTTGCCTGTGCTGCCTTCCTCGGAAGGGCCATCCACGGCGCTGAGACCTCCGTTGCTGCTGCTGCTGCTGCGTATTTCGCCGTACCCCCGGCCGTTCTCCCCTCGCAGGCCGGCTCTGGGTGTTCGGAGGCGGCTGCCGTGGCGGTCGAAGCGGCGCGGGCGGTCTCCGTGTTGCTCCTGCCCCCGTCCCTCTTCTGTGCGTTTCGTGTTGTTGCTGTTGTTGTCGCCGTTATCGTTGGCGCCGCTTGACCTGCTGTTGTCGACGTGACCGTCATCTTCGTCATTGTCGCCGAAAACGAGGCTGTTCACCCAAGCTTGGCTGTCGTCGTCGTTGCCGTTGTCAAGCCCGTCGCTGTCACCTCTTTCGTTGCGTGCGTGGGGGTCGTTGACGCTCTCATCAAAGAGCTCCCCTGAATCATCGAACACGTACGTCTCTCGCCCCATGTCAGCGTCTTCGGGGCTCGCTGCTGCTGCCGCTGCCGTTGCCTTCCTCGCGACGTGTCGGCCCCGTCCCCTGTACCGGATGAAATTGTCGATATCGTTGTTGGCAATGAGAGGAGAGGTGGGGCACCGTATTAGACAGGTGCGGGCATGATGAACGTTTGCATATCGTGCATAAGTCAACCCGGAAAGAGGATTCCTAGAAAGTGCAATCAACTGCGTTTGAGGTGCCGTTGTCATCACTTCCACCAATTTTCTGCTCTTTCTCTGCATCCGATGAGGATGTACTCTGTTCCCTAGGGCGAGCCCGCAGGTTGCATTCGCTGTCGTGCGCCGTATTTGGATATAGGTTCATTGCTCGTTCCAACAGCTTCAGGTAGATGACACGCTCCTTCGTTATCTTCCATGTACATACACAGTAGCCGTAATTAATTTGATACCAATCACGTTCAGTACACAACTGTCACTAAATACCACTGCGGACAACACTCCCACCGCATTTATTCCTGAAACGGAGAAGCAAAAATCACCGTGAGGTCGGCCGGTATGAAATGAGCTGGGGCCGAAAAGTACACGCCGCGGGGATCTTGACCCTGTCCTCTTGCGACCGGAGGAGCTGCGCCTTGCTCTGCTCGTGCGTCCGTGCGCGTGCCATGAAGGGAAAAACAAGAAAAACGAAACGTTGCAAACGAGACGTTAAGAACGAAACGCTACAAACGAAACGTTGCCGACGAAACGTTACAAGCGAGAAGTCACAAACGAAACGTACCGCCGTACTAAAGCCAATCGTTTTTTAAGGGTCAAGTGAGAAGCGGATCGGAGGACAACCAAACACATGCAGCGTGACAAACTTTTGTCGAGTCCCCTGCGATATTTCTTTACTGCGGTTCGTCTTTGCGTATCGGACGTCGTGTTCACCCTGGTATCTTGACTAACCCCCCCACGCGTTCTAGGCAATGGATCGGGAACTACTCCACAGTAGCTTATGGGGAGAACGTGACAACTCCGTCCTTGAACAAGCATAACACGCATGTTCCTACAACAGTACGGCTGTCACAGATGCTATACTCTACTACTACTAGTCCTTTCCCACAGGACACAAGTTTCAGGAGACTTCAGAACCCACATCTTCGTAGAGCATCTCGAACCGTGCTGGTACCCCTTCCACGCCGCCGCCGGCCCTTGCGTCTTCCGCCGCCGCCCCAGCCCCATCTCTACCCCGCTCTGTCGCCAGCCCGAAATCGTCGGCCCTACTGCGGCGACGCCTTCGGGCGGTGGCCGCCGCCCAGTATTTCGTGGTCGCCAGGCGCGGCCGGAACGTGAGCTCCCGGTCCCGCTCCGCTTGCTGAGAGGGGTATCGCCGGCGAACGAGGAGTTCATTTTCTTCCATACGGTAAATATTACGAACAATGCTATGGACAGAAGTCAAAACGCAAACGAGGCGGGATTATTTCGATGCTCGTCCCCGGCACTCAGAAACATTCCCCCGATGTAACACGTCCACCGCTAAGGAGATGACGGCGGTTTGGTGGATCTGTTCGATGCCTCCTCTGCCCCCACCTTGGCTCTACGGCGGTCCTCCCTGCTCCGACCCTCACGGTACAGAAATTCGTGGAGCTCCGAACTGTCGCGGCGAGACTCCGCCGCTGTTTTGTTTTCGGAGGTCAGCGGCGGGGTGGGGCAGGGGTGGGCGGGCGGGTGGGTGCGGTGTTCGCCGTGATCATGCATACCGTAGCAGCGGCCATTCAACATTTCTTGGCGGCATTGTATTCCGAGGGAACAGGATTGCCTCTCCCCTTGACCTTTGTACCTCAATACCACACGGCTCAAATACACTTCCTCTCTACGCTTGTGCATATACCGAACATCTCCCTGGAAATCCGACAAGGAATCGCCCTGGGGGGCGGTGATATCTTACGTACTTGTCTAGATCCTTTCTCACATGGGCGTTGCGATCCTGCGTCTCCCACGCTAGCCCTATCCCTCTCTCGCCCGATCGAGCCCTCGATTCCTCCAGCTGCGTTCTCCGACCAAGCCTCGCCGACAAGCACCGCGTCCCGAGGTTGCGCGTCTTCTCTTCTTACAGTTCGGGCAGTATCCGTGCCTCCCTCTCCATCACGAGATGGCGCTTCGTGGTTTACTTGGGCGTCCGGGTCTTGACGTAGCTGGTCCTGCTGCTGCTGGTGTTGTTGTTGGTCCTGCTGCTGCTGCTGATGTTGCTGCTGGTGCTGGTGGTGTTGGTGTTGTCTGCCAGGAAAGTGTGGCCCAGAGGTGCGTCGGTTGCTTCTGCGGTCACGCCATTTTCGAGAGGCTCCGTTTTGCGAGAACGAGGAGGAGGCGGCTGCTGGTGGCTGTTGGTCTCGCCGTCTTGGTTTGAACCCGTCGGCGTACGTGTAGGCACGTCTGCACGAAGAGGGTTAAAGAGGAGATTATTTGGCTCTACTCGTTTGCACCCTTGCATTCTTAAAAGCTTGCTTTGTCAAGAGAAACAGAGTCTCAAAAGCGCGAAGAAACGTTTTCTCCTGTTTTCCTGTAGCGCAGTAAGGCGCCGCGAGCATTCATGTGGATGTGATTCCCGGGCGCATGCTCTTACTTTGTGGGCAATGCCGAACTGCTGCATGCATTGCGGGCAGATTGTTGTTCGCTGATGAACTCCATCACCGCGGATGCAAGGTCGACTATTTAGTTGTTGGTACAAGGTCGTGAGACTGATGGGGTGGGCAATACAACTGAACGACCTGCAATTTAGCGGTGGGCTAAATCGTGAACGAACGCATTTCAATACCAAAGAGAGAAAATTATCACCTGTCTACATCGCCATGGCTCGGAGAGGCCGGTGGTACTTTTCTCCCCGGAGGTCGGGCCTTAATTTCTTCTTCTGCTGCTGCTGCTGCTGCTGCTACTGTCGTCGGCTTCTGGTCTCTGAGTGGCGCATACGCGTAGCAACAGCTGTGCCGCCAGCACCAAAATAATAAAAACAAGGGAAAAGACGCACGATGTCAGCAGCCTGGGACTTTCACCCAAAGGGTGAGAAAGGATATGGGCAAACAGGACAAGGATGTGTAGGTTCGCATGATTTATATGTGTCGGGTACCTACAAGTTACGGGCGGCCAGCAGGATGATACGTGGGGGTCAGGGACACCCATGCGTAGGCTGTGAAGGAGACGAGGAGTTCCTTTTGAGCGGGAGTTCATGTTTGTTGATGGAGATAAAGGGATGTGAACGGGCTCGGTCGTCTCAGACAAGCCCGCACGACTAGGACGCATCGAACGGTTGACAAAAACAACAACAGCGTGGCGCCCTGTACATCTACGTAGGGTCGGGGTTTTGCTGGCGGTATATAGCCTACAAGCTGTCCAACGGCTGGCGCTCTACGAACCTTGTTCGTTGTCGCCAACCATGGCCCAGATCCTTGCAACATGACAACAAGTCGTCCGTCGACAGTACTGCCACTTCTTTAGCAAAGTAAGTCTATAGATAGCTGACCATCGCTACACGAACACAGGTATTTTATCGCAAGCAACCGATAGCTGTGACATCACATTGACCCACAAAACGAAAAACTATTGCTGTGATTGTCGCAAGGTTGTCTCAGGGTTTAGATGGAGGAGGCGGATCTCCTAGCCGTGGACGAGAAGATGTTCAGATACTCCGAAAAAGGAAACGATGGTGGTAAGAGCGGGCAAACACACCCTTGACGAGGGGAACAACAGTAGTGTTGGGGCTACACGTATATCTGCAATTATCTGTCGGTTGTGAAGCCGTGAAGAAAGCCCTACAATTACCGAGTGGCGGATATACCCAACTCTCGCCACAATTCCCCCCCACGCCGGAAGCTGCAACAGTAGACTACGCGGGGCGACTTGAATACTGCGACTACAGCATCGTGGGAATGCAATGATTGATTGCCTAAAGATGTACGGTGGTCGTCTTGTCCAAAAAGGATGTCCATTACACAGCTATTATAACAGGTGTAGGTGATCCCGCACAAGAATATCTGTGCTATAGCATGCAATACCTTTCGAAACAACGGTGCAAGCAGCAGCATGAATACAGAACCAAAATCAGGCTGCTGTACACAAAGGCTTGTGAACGTAGACTATTGTACTGCTGCTGTACAAGACAACTCTATCTACAGCCGTCCCTACACTCACACGATTTCTGCCCTGGTGTATCGCCCTCGCTGAGTACTATATATGTAGCACCTGGAACCCCGAGAAGTGAGACCTTCGATCAGTACATTAATACTGCTGAAGTGAAAATACCCTGGTGAGTGCTTCGGCCCGTGTGCACAAGCCTAGAGACCAACTACGCAGAGCGCGATCATCTCCGCTACTCTGCTGTGCTGGAGTATGCATACAACATTGGAACCACCATGTACCCTCGATGGATTCTGGATCCAGGAAACGCACCTGTCCACTTCATCGGGGAGGGGCGTCTTCCGGGTGAGAGTGCTGCCGACAGGGGAGCCAGGAGCAGTGGAGATCTCTCCACCGATATCCCTCTCGATCCAGGAAACGCACCTGTCCACTTCATCGGGGAGGGGCGTCTTCCGGGTGAGAGTGCTGCCGACAGGGGAGCCAGGAGTAGTGGAGATCTCTCCACCGATATCCCTGGCCACAGTCTCGCTGTTCTCCTTGACCCCGCTGTTCTCCTTGACCCCGCTGTTCTGCTTGCACTGCCTGAACAGCGACGTCGTTTCAGCCAAATCTTCGGTGCTTTGCCGACCCTTCGCCGAAGACAGGAGCCTGGTCAAATCGACCGTCAGCGCGTTTATCGCGACCTCCGACATGCTGTCTCGGGCAGGTTGAAGAGCGATCTACATGCACTAGCAGCAAAGCCAGCGCACATGGGAGATGTGCAGCAGAACGCAAACGATATGGGAAGATCGAATCCGGCGCGCGATCACGTTTGTAGGTGCCAAACACAGAACAATCCGAAACCGACATGCCCCCTCCCCCCTCCCCGCCAATGTATTGCCATTTGCGCCCCCCCCCCCCCGCTCGCCGCTTGACCGCGACCGCTCGACTTTTTTCGTTCTGTTGTTGTGTGCAACTCCAGCGTGAATACAGCAAGAGGGTCTGGCTGTTTACTGGCGCCACAACTTGCGTGCGCTGGCACGGCGGTGAATGCGGCTTGCTGGCACAACAAGGGTGCTGTGCGTCCACCCACACTCTACGAGCGCCTCGGCCAGCAGTGCGCGCGCCGCCGGCGTGGTGGCGTGGTGTCGCCGGCGAACAGCAGTGTCGCGAGAGCGGAAAAAATGGCGAGAAGCGTGTTCGGGATGCTACTGCTGCCGCTGCTGCTGCTGCTGCTCGGCCAGCAGCCTCCTCTCGCGCAGGGGCAGGTGATCACCGTCAACCGCACCGCCGGCGAGGTCGAGGTCGGCACCTGCGAGGGGCTCAAGAAGAACGCGGAGCTGGGGATCGACATCTCGATCGTCGTCACCGCGAACCTCCGCTGCGTCGACGCCATCACCCTGCCGGCCGGGGTGGAGGTGTCGATAGGGTCCGCTCCCGACGAAAATTTCCTCGTAGCTGTCGCGGAGGACTTCCTTGTGCCCGACCCGACCTCGGCATCCCTCCTTGTCAACCCGGAGGGGTCGTACCTAGCGCTGGACAGGCTGACGTTCGCGAACGAGGCAGGCGTCCTGGGGTCGCCGGGCGAGGTCCGAGCGGTGTGGAACGCAGGTCAGCTGGATGTGGACGGCTGCGTGTTCGAGAGCCTGAGCTTTTCGAGCCAGCAGGACGGCGGCGGGGTGAGCATCAGCGGTAGTGGTGTGCGCTATGTAGTGCGCCTTTGTGTGTGGTGTGCGTGTGCCCTGTGGCCAGAAGAGCAGCAGCGCTCTAATAATGTCAACGCCGGATGATAATGTTTGATGTTTTCATGTGCTGTTGCAGAACAGCAGTCTGTAGTCCATGGGCAGGAAAATCTCCGCTTCTTGTTCTGGGCCCTATCGTCTGCGCACAAAACGTTCTTCCGCTCACACACCAGCAGCGCGTGAGCGCGTGCCTCACTCACGCAACCACTGGCAGAAAATACTTCTTTTGCTGAGATGGCATTCGTCCGTCCTCCATATTCATCAGATGACCCCTACGAGCGGACAGCAACAACAACCGTTATTTTTATTCTGGTTTTGGTCGCTGCTGCTGTGGGCGGAGGGGCGAAGGGAGCGCCGCTTTGAAAATCGACGAAAAGGCCGCCTATTTTTTCGGTTCGATGCCGCCTATTTTTTCGGTTCGATGCTCGTCGGCGCAGCAGTTGCAAAAAATATAATACCCCCTGCATCAACTACATAGTCAAATTTCTGGTGTGCATACCTTTGTCGCGCGCAATGGATGACACCTCCACAGCCGTCCGACCTCTCTACCTTAAGCGCAGATATCCGAGCACGCACCAGGTTTAATTGTGGTGTAGTTGTGTATTTTCCAAAAATAGCGGTAAAACTTGCGGCGGTATCCCACTCTCAACTCTCCACCGCTGTCGATTGATGTATACAATGTATGCAACAATGACGATAGAGGAAGGGGCTGCGGAACCATCCTCGCGGTCGGCATTGACGGCGAGCACCGCAGGAGGAAACGAGGAAAGGTGGATTGATTTCTGCCATGTGTCCCCCCGCTGGTGCGTCGACCATGTGCCCGAAGGTGTAGACTGGCGCCCGGAATAAAGATGGAACAAAAAAAAAAAAAAGTGCTGAGATCTGTCCGCATCTTTGTGGGGGAACTTTAACTGATACACTCATATTTGGAATTTTTGGAAGCCCGTTGGAAACGCAAAAAAAGGTGGTACTCGGGAAATAGCAGTGGAAATTCATTGCTAGTCTATCTTTGACTCTTTTCTTGAATAGAGATGGATTCGTTGGGTCGTATTAAGAAGAAAAAAAAAGGTGTTGTTTGCTGCGTGGTTTTTCCAAATCGGCTGGAGTAACGTGCGGGGGCCAGGGATGAGACGCTCTCAGCAGGGCAGGCTCCCGTTCAAATGCCGGTTGCGCGACGATCATGCCCTGCGGTCACGTTCGTTCGGTAGACTGCCATAGACAGATGTCCACGCACGTGTCGTGGGGCAAGAAGAAAACTCGAAGGAGAGACTCCGAAAAATAACACGTCCGTCAAAAAAAAATCTTGCCGTTCGACGTTTTTTTATCTTGTCGCGTTTTTTCGTCACTTGGGGGTGTCTCAATTAATTCTCGAGATCCATTTCTCTTACCCCACCGCTACAGTATTCCATACAGCAGTCACTGCCCGCGGTCGAAAACTACAGCCGAAGGTGATGTGTTGAACGTCTTTGCAGTGAAATGAGACAGAAAAAGCCAGCCGGACACTGGACTTATTTCGAGTCTTCGAAGCCTGTTGCACATAACAACGGTATCGAAACCCTCATTTTTTTTTTCTCTCTGCGAAACGAACCAGATCTACAGCATGGCGGAGCCGGGGAGCGGAAGCAGCGCGTTCGTGAGCGTGAGAAACTCCACCTTCATCGGCAACGTCGCGGAAAACCACGGAGGCGCTATTTCCTCCTGGGGGCAGGGAGAGCTGGAAGTGAGCAACTGCAGCTTCGTGGGCAACGAAGCCGTCGGGGCGGGCAGCTACAGGCGGGCGGGAGCCGGGGGTGCGGTGTATGCATCCCCGGGGGTATTTGTTACGGTGAGACAGCACGAAGGGGCGTTTGCTTGCATGGTTGGGGACATGAGTCATGGTTCCGATGGGGGGCGGGGATGTTTGCAATAGTGTTGGTGGACGTTGCCCCCTTTTCCGGACTTTTCCTTGGAAACTCGAAACATAAGGCAGCGGAGTCAGTCTTGAGAGGAAGGGCGGAAACGAGAGGGTGTGGGTGGGGGGGAACAAGTCGTAAAAGACAGATCTCTGCGATCAGAACCACGCCAAGTAAATAGTGCGAATGCTGATTTTTCACAAACGTTTGCTATTGTACGTTGTTGTGGTGGCGCCAAGTCCACGAGCGGGACTGGTGACCGGTCGATGCGCCAGACCTTCGCTGAACCTCGCTCTCTATTTAGCAGCCGCCTTCTCAGCCCACCGCTGCTGCTAAATAAACAGTTACCCCATGAATACAGGCAATAATTCAAGTCTCAACATTAGCCAGTTTCATGCATTGCTGAAGGTAGGTTGTCTTTGACCTCTTTTGTATGCGTGCAAACCCGAGGTTCTCAACAACAGTTTTGAGGGATGCCTGGGCCCTTCCCTCACGCACTTCCAACCGTTTTGCCTCCTTTTTTGTCTGCGGTCGCGCACACTACATTGGTACGTTCTCAAGAGCAGTGTTCGGGGATGCCTCGGCCTTTCCCTCTACCGTCCTCTTTTTGTATGCGCGTCCTCGTCGTTGCTGTTATGGTTGTTGTTGTCTTGACATCAAACAACATGCACGTGCACCCAAAAATAGGTTCTCAACAGCAGTTTCGAGGGATGCCTGGGCCGTTACGGCGGCGCGGCGCTGTTCGCGTGCGGCGCGAACATCTACGAGTCCACGTTCGACAGCAACGAGGCCACCGGACTCTTCGGCGCCATCGTTAACGGAGACCTCTCGGACGAGGAACGGGCTAACGCCACGCTTTCGCTGGGAGGAGGCGGGCAGAGCGGCAACTACACGTGCCCGCCCTTGTTCGTGTCCGGCACGATGTTCGAAAGCAACAGCGCGTCGACGGGGTACGGCGGAGCCATCGCGTCCGTGGACTCGTCGCTGTCGGTGTTCAACTCGTCCGTGTTGAGCACGCTTGGAGGCGGCATCTACTTCGGGACTTCGGACGACAGCGGTCGGGATCAGCTGGAGGTGAAGGAAGTTTTTTTTTAGTATCCGCTTCGGGGTTGTTGGACGAGTCGACGTGTTGCCGTCAGCAAAGGATCTGAAACAAGCATAAAGCAGTTCCTATCCCGAATGCGAAATGAAAGTTGGCATCTATAACGTACCTGGATGGTCACTTCCGACAACAACGCTTCCGTCAATAGAGGGGGGGGGGTGTAATCGTTTTTGTTCGCTTGCTTGCCTCTGCTGTGTGTCTTGGTGATGCTGGAGACTGGGTAGATGCTGGAGACCGGGTTAGATCGTCAGATTGACTGCTTTGCCGCGCGGCGTGTTTTTTTATTTCATGCACACACCTTTTGCGTGCTGAGAGGGCCAGCACGCGAGGTGTTTGCTACAAGGAGATGCCGCACGCCTTCGTCATGTCCGCTTTTGCGGGTCGTGTGGCATGCGTTGCCGTTCCTATGCATACCTCTTGGCTTTGAGCCCTGACGAAAATGTGCCGAAACAGTTTTTTTTGTGTTTTTTTTTTTCATCGACTGCTGTGATCCCACACCCTTCATTGTTACGCCGAGGGCGACGGGTCAAGAAAACCCTCCGCTTAACGGCCGATTGATCTCTGTCAACCTTACAACTCGTGACCATCCGGCCATTTTCTCCATATGCCGAAACTTGAAACGCCGGATAGATAGCCTTTGTCAACGACCGAAGGACTAATCCAAGCAAATTTTTCCCCGCCTCCCCCTCACGTGAAACTTGGCGAACCAAAAAACGCCACGAGCAGCTGGAACTCCTCCAGTTCAACTGGAACGGCGGGTCCTCCTCCAGCCCCGACCTCGTCGGTTCGGCTTTGCTGCTGGAGAGGACGGGTACCCCAGCCTCGAACACCACGGGGCCCCTAGAGCAAGTGGACCCTTCGACGTCCTCGGCTTCGTCTTCGTCGGTTGCGACCGCGGCGTTGCAAACGGTCGGTGGCTCTTCCTCCTCCTCCTCCGCCGCCGCCACCGCCGGCTCGACCCTCGTCGGTGTCGCCAGGGACATCTACTGCTTCCAGAACGACCCTTACGACTGCGAGGCGTACTTCGGCGACAGCGACGGCGAGATCGCGGTGCAGCTCACGGGCACGGTGCGGTGCAACGCGTGCCAGGGCTCCGCCTTCACCGGGATAGGGAGCGCGGCGGGGGCGCCCACGCCGGCCCCGATCGTCGCCGATGATGACGACGGGCTCTCCCAGATGGGGCAGGAGCGGGCCCAGGGCGGAACCCCGTCCCCAGCGGGCGTCGACGGCAGCAGCAGCAGCAGCAGCGGCGCCGGCAGCGGCTTGGGCCTCGTGCCCGAGGAGGAGAGCGAGCCGGATCTGCTGGGCACGACGGGGACGATGAGGTGGGTGGTCGTCGGCCTGATCGCCGCGCTGGGCAGCGCGCTTCTCATCTGCCTGTGCATGCTGACCGTGTGTCGGAGGAGGAAGGGCCGGGGCGAGAGAGCGTTGGAGCTGGCGGGCGGCGGAGGCGGTGATGCGGAGGAGGGGAGCACGTCCGCCATGGTCGGCCCCCGCCCGCTGCCTACGCCAGCTGCCGCCGACGATACGGCAGAGAGGGGCCTCCGGGGGACAAACAACGGCAACGGGTTCGGCAACGGCGGCGGCAGCAGCAAGAGTCAGCACGAGTTTTGGGCCACCTCGCCGGGCACTTCCGCCGCCGTCAACGTTAACGGCGAGCAGTCGCAGTCGCGGTCGGGCTCGCGGCGAGCGGTCGCTGGGGCTGCTGACCCGTCGAGCTCGAGCTCGAGGCGGCCGAGCGGGACGGGGTCGTCGCGGTCTAGCTCCCGGCGACCCAGCGGAGCTGGTGACTTGTCAAGGTCCAGCTCTCGGAGGCCGAGCGGGAAGGGGGAAGACGGCGGTGGGCGCGACCCTCGCCGAGAAACGGTAGACTCCGCCGTCGCCGTCGTCAACGTCGAGACGCCGCTTTCCTCGGAGCTCAGGGAGCTCGAGCTCGCCCGGCAGAGGTCGGTCGAGCTCAAGGCGGCCCGGGAGGAGGAAGGGTGGATGTCCCCCCCGCTCGTGAGCGCCTGGGGGGAGGGGGCCGTCGTCGGCGGGAACGGCCACGTGGCCCTGTCCGCCCGCAACACGCCGACGAAGCGCGGCTTCGCCGTTCTGCCGGACGACGCAACGGCGGGAGAGGAGAGGAGGGGCAGGCGGGGGTCGAGGAGGTCGGAGGCGGCGGCGGCGGCGGCAAGCCGTCGTGGCGGCGAGTCTTCGCCATCGGAGAGGCCGAAGCGCAACCATTCCTCCGCGGAGGCGGCGGAGGCCGCCGCCGTCTCGGTGTCGGTGCCCAGGGGGATGAAAGGCCGGAAGAGCAGGAGCGCGGGGAAATCCAGAAGCGGCGCGCGCCCGTTCGGCGGCGGGCGAGAAGACGACGAAGATGAGGATTCGGAGGTGCCGGCACCGAGCAGGGGCATGAAGGACAGGAGGAGCAAGAGCGCGGACAAGGCGATCGGGCACGCGTTCGCTCCCCAGGACGGGTCGGCCCTGCTGCCCGAGCGCCGGGGGTCTAGGTCGGGTCCGCGGGCCTACGGCAGCGGCGGCCTCACGGCCAACGGGAACCCTAGAAAGATCAAGCCCCCGGCAACGGGTGGCGGCGGCGACTCGGATCGCTTCACGCCTTCCAGAGAGACAAGCACGGGCAGGGCCCTCGCCCGCGCCGTCAAGACCCCCGCGGGCGGCGCCCGCCTGCCGATCAGCGTGGCGGCTGCGGCGGGCGGTGCTTCGGTCGGGCCGCCCCGTGGGTTCGGGTCCACCTCCACCTCCACCGCCGCCGCCGATGCCGCGGGGGCGGCGGCCGAGCTGGGGCGGCGGCAGCGGGGCGGGGAGGCCGCCGCCGTCGTATCGGCGGAGGTGAACCCGTTCTACTCGCGCGGCGGCGAGTCGTCCATTCGCGGCGGCGGCGGGAGCAGGAGCCCCAAGAGCAGCGGCAGTCGTAGCCATTCCCGGGTGTCGAGCCGAAGCCCGCGGGGCGAGAGGGGTTGGGGCGGCAGGAGCCGGTCGCGGTCGAGCTCCCGCCGCGGGGATGAGCGGGTGGTGGCGGGCGGCGGCGGCGACGGCGGGGGTTGGGCGGCGGAGATGTACCGCGTGTCCCCGGGGCCGCGGAGCGCAAAGGTCTACAGCCGGAAGTTTGACTCCTCGCGGCCCGGCTGGGGCGAGGAGGAGGAGGGGATGTCGTCCTTCAAGAACGGCGGGCGCGATGGGCAGCTGCAGTAGTAATAGTAGATGCTTTTAATCTTCGGAGATGGCCTTTGTAGAGGCGACATATCTCCGAACGTCTGTCGAGGACGATTGGTTCCCTCTTTTTTCACAAATCGGAGTTTTTTTGTTTCGGTCGTGCAAAATGTTTTTGTGTGTGGTTGTTTGTGTGTATGTGCCCGCGCGAAGTCCGGTTTGTCTATTGTAGTTGCTAGAAACGGCTTGCGTTTTTTGTTTTTTGTGTGGAGGTCAGGTGTTGTTTGGCCGCGGTGTGGCCAACTCGAGGCACTCCCGTCCGTGCTGAAGGTACAAAATGGTGTGGACGCCACGGCGTGGTGACGCTGAACGATTACTTCTATTATTTTTCCTAGTAGATACCGCCGCGTCGAAAAGCTGCTTTGGGATCTGTTTTTTTTTATCTTTTTGCGTAGCTTCACGTTTTGATGCAAGAGTGAGTGTAGAGTAGTCGACAACAGGCGCCGGAGCGTGCATGTCATTTCTGTGTTGCGGTGACGCGATGTTTTGCTGTTTTTGAGGCGCGGGGAAACTCCAGGTGGTTCGACCAGATATCCGTTGCGTGCTGCTCGCCGCATGGTCGATCGGCCACGCGGTCGATCGGCTACCGCATGCGCACCACTGTGTCCGGCGCAAGAACGTCCTTTTCTGGATTATTATATTCATACAAGTAGTACCAGGTATTTGTAAGTGTGGTTCGGCGGCGTAGGTTGTGGTGGATCAGTACGGTCGTGTCCGGTGGAGGTGAAGGTGTTCTCTTGGGGCCGCACGGCGGTTCTTCGGTGATTTCTCGTCTCGTGGGTATTGCTTGAATCGTGGGAGGCGCTTTGCTGTTGGCGCGGCCGCGCCGCTCTTTTCATGTTTTTTGTAGAACGGAGGTAAGCTTCGTGTATGTGTGCGTTGTTCATATTTCGGTTTCATATTTTTTCTTCGTTTGGATGGTTTTTTGAATTTGTTTCTACCCGCTGGCGTGATGGTAACGCGGAGCCTCTTTTTTTTTGGTTCCGTGCGCTTGTAGGAGTTAGACATTAATAGTAGGTGGTGCCTCGGGGCTGCATGAGCACCCGCGTGAGTTTTAAAGCAACGCGCTCGTACATTATTGGTGCATCACTGTTGCGCGAGGGTAGCTTGATTGTTGGTGCGTTGATTTTTGCTACCACGTTAATATATTTCTGGTGCGAAGGACTGGGCGGCGTTCTGGTTTTGTTTTCCTTTAAGGTGGCGGTGGATTGCCGCAAGAACGGTGTTCTTTAGTTGCTAATCTAGCACGACAATAGGTCTTGTTAGTTCTTGTCTGCCCACATTTTTTGAACACCAACAAAAGAGACGTTCGAATTTTTCTCTCCAAGTTTCGAAATTCCACCTGCCGGCAACTAATTGACCATCGTGCCGCGGAAGTGTCTCTCGTCCAACCAACCAACCGTTAACGGTGAAGTTTTCGACACGACCGCCTTTCTTTTCGTCGGTCGAACCAAGTGCCCGTAGTGAATCTGGCTCGCCGTTTGTTTGTTGATGATGTAGTGCGCAAGTGTGTTACCGATAAGATAAGATGGGACAAACGTGGCAGTGAGAGTGCTGGTTTTGCGCGCGGTTATTATGGTGTGTTGTGACTGTTATTTCCGCGCACGGGGTCAACAGCTGTCCGTGTCGTGGAAACGCGATCGTTTTTTGTTGTTTCTTTTCTTGTATTGGGAAGAATATTTTGCCCTTGCACACAGATTATGTTATCGTTACCTAGTGCGCACAGCTTTTTTTTTTAAGCTGCAGGCACACCCTCACTCTCACGAGGATTGAGGTTTGTACGAAGTAGTTCATGCTTATTCCCGTATGTCATCGGCTAGCATTTTCCGCTTTCAGCTATGCTGAGTTCCGCATCGTCTTATTTTGTGTAACGTTCTCCTTCACAGGTTGCCGGCCGGTCGCCGGGTGGTCTGATTGGTCGCCTGACAAATTTCTTGACGAGCTCAGGTTGTTAGCCATTCGATTGTCGGCGGAATGACTCTGTGGCACAAACGTTTGCGCCTGGTTGTGATATCTTACAGAACGCCGTGGTTCTCTGTGAGATATGCTTTGAGGGAAGGAGCCAGAGGCTGGGTCGGAACTTTCGATTTTTGGGGCGAAATGATGATGTGTCTGGACATTTTTTTTCTTGTGCTTGACGTGGTCACATGACCCCTCAAGCTTCTTGACGTTTGAGACCCAAACTGACGTTTTGAGACCCAAACAAACGTGGACGAGGGAAAGGACCGGCTGAATCCATCTCACGACAAGATTCAAGGCACGTACCGCAAGAAGGAAGACCTGAAATACAACTCCTGTCTGTCTGTGTGGCCTTCCCTGCCTTCTGCGTGACACCGGCTGGTGCGTCCAAAATTTGTACCGAAAGGTATGCATACAACAACCGATGTCCAGCTCTTCGGAGGAAGGGTTTGTTTATCTGTGAAGTCACTTGCGGGAAGGAGCCGCGAAACCCACAGATCATCAAAAGCATGAACCACACCGCGCACGAAGCAGCAACCGTTCCTCTACCTCCGTGTAACCCACGATCAAATCTCTTTCAGTCACGGAGCCAAGACCGCAGGATAGATGCGCACTACAAGTCCGAGCGACGATGCAAGACACGTGTAGCGGCCACGGGTATAGCACAAAAACACCGGGGTAACGCAAGAGACACATAAACGTAGTCCCTCCCCCCCTCCACCGCGAATGCTTCTCTAATAAGCAAGGGAACGCGAAAGGCCTACAGTGGTAACAAAATCGGTGCTGTTGCTGTTGCGGAAGTGCCTGTGACTTCTTTTAGCAGAGCTTTCATTTTTCAAGAAAAGAAAAACGTCTGGGGCTTCAGGGCTGCCCCCGGCCTGCTATGTATTTAGTGGAGCTGGCCAGCAGGCCTAGACCGAAGACCCGCGGCGTACAGCAGTACATATCCCAGCTACCAGGGTGTCATGCCTCCCAAGCACGCTGCTCGAACTCAAACTCAAGACAACACAACGCTGCTCGAAGTTCAACTAAAGAAAACGAAAACTCGGCGCCTACTATTGAGGAGTGGACCCAACTCTATCCCACTGTACGAGTACGGCGTTGATGCTATATCCTTTCCCTCGCTCGTCAACCGCCCTCCCGACATGAAACCACCGCGGGCCAAACAAAAAATGAGCCGCTACGCAAGCCAAGCCTTGGGGGGGGGGGCAACTAGCACCCTTGAACGGGTGTTTGTTGTCTTCAAAAAATTAAACATTCAAGGTATCAATCAATCAATCAACCAATCAGCCAATCAGATTTGTTTTTTAAGCGGTGAACTTGACGAGGTCGAGGTTGAACTTCTTCGCCGCCTTGTTGAGACCGTACTTGTCGATGGTCTTGATTGCCTTGGTCGACAGCCTAAGCCTGACGAATCGCTTGCCCTCCTCCCAGTACATCTTGCGCCACTGCAGGTTCAAGTGTTGCACCTAGGCGCGTTCCGTTGGTTGGTTGGTTGGGACGAAGAGAGGTACATCGAGCGAACAAAATACAATTAGATGGGTGTGTAGCAAGAAACACACCTGGGCACAGCAGTACGATTAGATGGATGCACAACACAGCATGGTCAAGTCACCGGAAAATCCACGCGTTGCACCTACAATAAAAGCTTCACACCCAACACACCCCCCAAGGGCCGCAAATGCACATCTCAAGTCAATCAAAACAAGTGGCGGCCACGCAGAGGCGAAGGGACAAAAAGAGCCGGGTTCATTACTGCTCCCGTTACGACAGAATGGATGCAAGGGAAAGAAATCTACACCCCCCCCCCTGGTTCACGCTGTTGGCTTATTTCTCTATGGGCGGCGAAAGAAAAAACGCATCAGTCATGACTTCCAACTCACGACGACAGCTCGAGCGGCGAGTTGCAAGACCGGTTCTATCATGCGTGCAAGACGGTTTGGCTAACCACCCGGCCCACGCCTCAAAAGACACTCACCCTTCAGAAACGGGCGCGAAAAACGAAGGGAAAGGGTGAGACTACACTACTGCTAAGGAGTTCACCAGTCCCCAGCGCGGTTTACCGTAGCAAGCCACGCGCACGTTAACTTTGGCGATGCGCTCAGTACGTCCGCGCGAGACTGCTAAGCATACACCAACACCTGCATCATAGTACTTCATTCGGGACCTGGTGATGTTTCAAGTTTCTTTTTTCCGGCCTCACGAAGTGCCATCTTACTCCACAGTGTGCCATCCCACTCCGAGCTCTTCTCCCACCAATGTGGACGTCACATGTACCCCTTTGGACTTCCTACCGACATTCCCGAACTCTGACTCAGCCACACACACCCAAAAAATTTCCCCAGTCACGGACCCCCCGCCCACGCGAGAAGAACTGAACCACGACACCAAGGTGAAAAAAGCTTTACAGTAATGGTTTCAGAATAATGCCGGTTTGATCCAGCCGATTTCACCGACATTATACCGGGACTGGCATTTTTCGACCGGCACTACACCAGGACCCTTACTGTATCACCAACGTTACAACGTTTGCCAATATCCCTCGCCCCCCCCCACCTTGTGGATGCGCTTGTGCGAGAACGTTACGACGCGGGCCTTGCGGTTGGGCTTCTTGCCCAAGAGGTCGCAGTTGCGCGCTCGCATCTGCAGGCTCGATGTTGGCGAGGTTGCGCTCGACTTGGAAACCTGGCGGGAAAAAGGAGGAAAAGTTTCCACGCCGTGCGTGGCAAGCGGGAGAGAGACCGAGAGAAAGGGCCAAGGGACTATTAATGATGCAAGACAGAGAGGACAAACGGGTAAAACTTGGGCTTGCAGCGTGCGTGGTATGCGGGGGAGAGAGACGGAGAGATGGGTCAACGGACTGCTAATGATGCCAACAGAGAGGGAAAACGGGTAAAACTTGCGCTTCTATAATGAGGGGTGAGCTAATGACCGCTGTTGAGACGGAAACCGGGGACGGTCAAAAGTAGGTGCTGCTATCTCGTCGTATATGGGACGTTCTATGATACACTTGAACAGAGGCCACGGAACGATGAAACACAGCGGAATTCTCGAGGTAAACGCCATGGAAGAGTCTTGGAAAACACCCTGCTGTTGATGCGGCAGACCCGCAGAGGCCAAAACGCCTCTCGTCACGACCCACGGTTTTCCTGCCCCTTGGTAACACAGCTGCTTTGGAAGGTGACATGACATGAGGTTTTCGTTTGCTAAGGAGGCGGGGAAGCACCCCCTATTTCCCACCGCCGGACACACCGGTGCAACATGACTCTACATGACGCCGTGCCCACAAACATACGGAAGGTTTCATGACGCAAGATACCACGCCCCCTGGACAGGACCGAACTTTAAAAGATTGATTACTCCACGACGCAGAGGATGTACAAATGAAACCCCACGTTTTCGGAATGCTCTCGAGGACAAGATTCTCGCGCTGCCATTATTGGCACCGCCGCTGATTTTCTTCAGAGCAGTCAAAGATATGAAAATGGGTCAAGAGGGTGCGGTACATATCTTACATAACCTACGGTACCTGTGCAGGACGCTGGACGTGAGTCAGCCAAAGTTTCTACCTTCGCAGGGTGCAGAATCGATTAGGGGATGGGGACGTGATTTTATCCCCGGATTCCTCTCCCTTTCAAAACTCGAAGAATCCACCGATCCCAGCAGAGGCTAGAAGGGGACCCTACTGCTGCTGCTGTAGTTGATACCCAGAGGTAACAACGCAGCAACCTTGCATGTAGCGCTACAGAACACGCTTGAGAACCTCTTTTACTGCTGTGCCCCGTAATCAGTTCTTCTTGTCTCTTGTGGGCTTATCAGCAAGGACTTTCGGGTCCAGTGTATTGAGTGGGATTCTTGACGGAGCACCTGTTATTCTTTCAAGTACATACAAGCAGTAGCAGTGTAGTTCGAAGTACATTGATCGGTGCGGCGTGGAGGAGCAACAATCAAACACACGGGTAGGTCTACATACAGCATGTTTGGCTTGTCCACTGCTGTTGCAGGAAAGCCGTGATCGCCAGCATTTCTGGGCGCATAGAGATTAAGAGAGCGGAGGCAGTGCGTATGTCCGGTTGGGCCCCTGTACATAGCCAACGTTTAACCAACCGTCAACTGCTGTATCAGCGCACTACCGTATATGACACAAGATAACACACCCCCTGGACCGATTTTCAAAGCTCGATTTTTCAACAGAAGCAACAGTCGCAGGGCCGAAAACGGTGGCGTTGAAGCCGTCTCGTCGAGAGTTGTCTGAAAACATGTCGTGTCATTCATGTATCCTCTTCGTCGTGGAGTAATCGAGCTTTGAAAATCGGTCCAGGGGGTGTGTTGTGTGTTATCTTGTGTCATGTACGGTAGGTTAGCTTGACAACATGAACAACGGGTGCCGTCGTGTCGATGGCGCTGGTGAAGTTGTGTGCCGATGAAAGCAAGCGCATGTTGCAGCACTGAGTCGTTTCGGCTGGGGATGCATCGGCCTTAACAATCTCTCCTTGCAGGACGATAGGCAGCCTCAACGTGTGATCTACGGGCCGACGCTTCGCCTGTCTAAGCGGTGCCTGCTGAAAAACGTACAGCGGCTGTACAGCGTTAGTTGAACTCGTTGCGGGTTCTGCTGTGCTGCTGCTGCTTGCCGGGCGTCATTTGGCGATTTTTTGGCTTGCGACTTGAGATTTCGCGAGGGAGCGAGGCTCGAACACAGGCATGCCTTCGGCGATAGGCACCCCTAAGGTGGACCAGCACTGGAGCAGGCTGCTACTGAGATTTGTGGGGCCAGGAGGAGCTGTGTCAGGTGGGTCGTGCGCTGCACCACACAAAAATCAAGATGAACGTGATGTGACTCTTCTCTCTGACAGACAGGGCCCGCACACACACACGCATGCTGCTTTGTCACTCATCGAAAAATGGTCAGCGGTAGAGCTCGGAGCACCACACCCAAAGCATCGCCCGAGGGGAACATGGCACCTACCAAAGCCCTCAAACTGAGCACGTGGGGGGCAGTGATCCCTCGTGAACTCATTGTCATATCCCTGAGGGCATGTACATGAGGTGGTTGCAGACACAGACCGGCCACGACCTCACACTTCCCCCTTCTAACGCTCGATCGAGCCAATATTGAAGACACACGGAGAGGGGAAGAATGAGCAGTCCACCGAACGAGCCACACAGGGTGGACGCCAACAAGCCCCAACCGTGCAAGCGTTGTGTGTGTAGAGGAAGGGCACCAGGGCACGCCAACGGCCTACAGGAGGAGGTTGTTGTTGCTGGAGGACTCACCACGCTTGAGCCTGCGAAGGCTGACGGCGCAATCATGAACCCGCTCGCCAGCTGACAGAAGAGCACCGCCATGGCGCCCGCGACCGCGAAAAGCTTCATGCTTCTCGACCCCTCTCTCCCTCTCTCCCTTCTCTTCTCTCTCTCTCTCTCTCTCTCGCCGTTCGGGTGCCCACTGATTCGGTCGCGGCCTCACGTGTCTGTGCTTCGTCTCTCCAAGCCTCAGGAGTTGCGAATGCAGTTGGCAACCTTTTTTTTTTTTTGGTCTTCGAGCGCGATGTAACGACTTATTTATTTTATTTTTTTGGGCTCGTCGTCGTTTCTCGCGAAGACGCCGCCGCTGACGGCCTCTTTGCGCCGCCCAGTCCTGCCTCTTCCTCCCGCAGCGACTGAGGGGGGGATGGTGACGACCTACGACTAGACGGGTTTACTTCCAACATGAACAATGCCGCCGAGCTTGTGGAGCTACGGAAGCAAGGCTCGATCACGCAGGAGGAATTCTTTGTTGCGTTAAATCAGCTGCGTCGGGCAAACACGGGTTCAGCGTCAGCAATAGCAGAAGCTTCGGCCGAGGTAGTAGTAGTGGGCGGCGTTGACAAGGGTCATGTTCCTAGGATCGACAGTTCTAGTTCGACAGCCTCTGTCGTCGACACCGCCAGGAGAGAAGCAGAAGGAGATGAGATTATCGCAGAAGATTGTGCTTCTGATGATCATGGTTGTCATGCTGTTAGCGGCGGAGAGGTCAGCTCCGTAAGTGGGCCGGCGGAGACTCCACGACCAAATACCGTTGCGCGATCACCTACGGCCGGGCCACTTCCCGAGGCCAGGCATCACATCTCCTCCATAGCGGCACGGCAAATCGACACTAACAGCGGCCGTGTTGATGATGTCGTGGTCGGCGCGACTACGACTTCGCCGGGCGTAGATCGACCGCCTCTGTCTGACGGCAGCTATTCGATAGGTGATATTCATGCAGAAGCGCGCTACCAGAGGGAACCAAGCAGATCGTTATTCCCAGAGACAGGACAGGAGCGTCGGGTTCCCGATGCCGACGTCGTCGGGGGCGACTCACGACGCCAGGAAAACGACGAGATCGACGAGAAACATGACGAGTGCGAGGCAGCACCACACGCAAAGATCGCCGACGATGACTCCGGGTGGCATACCTCCCCAAGCGGCGAGAAGACTCAGCAATCAACCAGCAACCGCCGCCGTTCGTCGATTGCGAGCCCTCAGCGGCAGTGGCAGCACGCCTACCGAAAGACACCCGAGAGTGATGGTGGAGATCGCAGCGTAGGACCCACGTCGGCAGCGGCGGAGGGCTCCAATGACTACGGCACGGAGTTGGTGGCCACGTTTGAAAAAGGATCGGGTACAGATAAACACTCACGGCCGGGTAGTTTGCAGTTGGTAGAACCGAGCCAGTATCAGAATAGCAGTGGCGAAAGCACCGGCGGCCGGAGGTTCTGTCAATCGCAACCAGCCACGCCGTCGCGTTCCTTCGATGGGCATGGCGGCTGTAGCAAACCAAGGGTAGCTGCGGGAATTTCGCCGAGGAAGAGCGACGGTGACTGCACCGTTGATGCCATTGCCAACACTTCAACGCGCTCCGCACCTAAACCGCATTGGTGGCCGGCTGGCGGGGAATTGTTCCAACCGCATTGGCAACGCTGCAGCACCACCACCAGCAGGCGACAGATGTCGAAGTCGAAGCCGAGTACACCATCTCGTTTAAGACCTGGGAGAGGTGACACCTGTCAAGAGGGTGACCATGCCGACACCGGCGACCGCCCCGCGTGGGGGGCCAGGGTGTCCCCAAGAAGGAGTAACGATGGCACGACGATGGCCTTGAAAACACAGCGGTCACCAGCCAAGCCCCCTTGGCGGCCGGCCGGGGAAGTAGATAATCAGCCGCGCTCCCAACAGAGCAGCAGGCACTGTCGCTCGCAAACCACCGCCACGCCTTCGGGCTTCTCTTCCCAGGGCACTGCCTCTGATCCGACGATGGCGACGGCGTGGAGTGGCACGACCGCAAGCGCTGGGAGTGGGTTTGTCGAGAGAAGCGAAAGGCGACATCGCCTCGGCTACACGTGTCCTCCCGATCCCGGCCGGGCTGCGTCACTGCAGCAGCTCCGACCAGAAGCACACAGAGAAGGCAAGGCGTCGCCACCAGCAGCAGCAGCTACGCCGGGGGGGCACAGAGCGGCAGCTACGCCTTTCTCCAGCCGGCGAAGACGACGACCGGACAACAACACCACCGCGGAAGAGCAAGACGGTACAACCACCACCCCGCAAGCAGGTCAAGCACCTTCAATCAGTCCCACGCGTGTACCCCACGTCGGCGATCGCCACGAGCTGGACGACGACGACAACGGCGGCGTAACCGGTGCCGGTACAGGGCTTCCAGCGGGCGCGGCGGGCGGCCTGTGGCGGAGCAGAGGGAGACATCGAGAGCCAAGAGGCCCGCCTCGGCGCCGGCACAGCGGGAACAGCACCGGCAGCGTCGGGAGCTTCGACTCCGACCGCTACTTCACGACGGCGGTGCGGTGTGACCGTTTCGGGTACCCTTTGCACGAGCGGGAGTGCCTGGGCAGCTACGGCGCCGGCGCCGGCCTCAGTGGCGGGCGAGGACCTCGATATTCTCCCATGATCAAGGGTTTGCCGGACTTTTACGAGTCTCGGCCGAAGCGCCAGAGTCGCGATGATGAGTCCTTGGGGCGAAGAACCCACGGGAATAACCGTGAGGCGCAAGCGTGTAGGTCGGCGTCGCTGTACCAAAGGACCACGGAGTGGCGGGCAAAGGCGAGCGAGGTCAGGTAAGAAATCGAACTGCACCCTCGCGATACGTGTGCGGTACACGCCACCAACACGGTAATGGTTGGGGATGAGCGTAGTTCGAATGTTTCTTTCAACGAAGATGCCGGTATGTAGGGCTTGAAGGGTGTATACCGTATGTGTAGGCGAAATATATAGTCATCAGTCGCTGTCCGTAGGGGCTTGCTGTTGCCTCACGTGCTCAACATACATAGAGATACCCTTGGGCCGACTGCCGAGCCTGTTTGTGGGTCCGTCCTCCTGCAATCCTTGACGAACGATCACGGTTCATTCTTGTATCCCTGTTTCGACTCGAGTCTCCGCTGCGTGCCTCCGGAACGACGAGGCGTACAGGCTTGCTGCTTGCGCGCTCATTCCATCTCCACCGCCCTCCCCGTTGGCAACCCCGCTCGTTGTTACATTTTCTGATTTGATCGCCGCTGGAAATAAATACTAGAGCGCGCAAGCTTGCTCAGCGCGAAGAGCAGGAGCTGAGGGACTGCACTTTCCAGCCGAACGTGCCGCTGCGAGGAGCGCTTGTCTCCGGCAGCGTCACGAGGGCCGCCGAGCCTATCGGTCACGGTCACGATTGTGTCGGAAGAAGCTCGAGTTGCAAGCCCGTAGAAAACGATGACGAAGGGAACGGTAGTGGGGGGAATGCCTGCGGTGGTGATGTTCATGTCGATGCTGGTGGTACGTGTGGTGTTAATGGAGGTGGCGGCGGCGGCGGCTGTGGCGGTAATCACGGTGGTGAAGCAGGCGAAGGCACTGCCGCCGGTCCTAGGAGCGTAGAGAAAGAAACGCGCTCGTGTATGAGCAGCAGGGCGGTTTCTTCTCCTTCGCAGGGTAGAGGGTGCCCGGGGAACAATGTGGTGCAACGGCTGTTCGACGAGACCCGGCGGCTGGACGAACGAAGGTTTGAAGGCCAGGAGAGGAAAAATATGGCGGCGGAGGAGGAATACGCCCGCACGTGTACATTTCAGGTGAGCCAAGCCCCGTCCTCGTGGGGGCAAAAAGTGGAAACAGGCGGCACCGGCTGAGACCTTGGCAGTTCAATTCAGTACTTTATTCATGCCTTGATTTTGTCTGGGTGCTGTAGTAGCGCTGTAGCGGTCTCTGTATCAGGCTGGTGGCCGGCGAAATAGCGCGACACAGATGCACTATGCGCGTTGTAGGCTCATACCCTTGCATTGCGACGGGTGATCGGTATTTTTTTTTTTTTTGTTCTTCACTTCAAATCAGCGCTCACAGCACTTGTGCCGTTTATTCCAACCCGTGGTCACACAGAAGAGCCCCTCTCTACCCTCCCCTCCTGCGGTACTTTGCCTTCGATTTTTAATGCGAGAAGAGGTCAGCACTCTCTTCCCTCTGTGTACACACGAACTAGCGCTATCCACTTGGCCAGGAGCGGAAGCGAGAGAAAAACTCACTTTGCAAGAAAAGCTCGCCTACGCCGGGATTCGAACCCCTGACCTGACCTCTAGAAGGTTACGAGGCTACCAACTAGACCACCGGGGCGACCGGGTATAAGGCAGGCCGAATGCCTTGGCACAATGTGGCCTTATACAGGGACCACTGTTGTGCAAGGGGCCAGGTTTTACAGCGTGATGACTCCCGGTGCAGAACCCCGCATGTCATCGTACCTGATGAGCTTCTCCTCCTTTATTGGGCCATGATGCTGCTAGAGCGGTCGGGCGCTTGATCGGCCGGTGCAAAAGGCCCGAAAATCGACTCACAAACACGTGCACACAAAGGGAACTCGGACTACGTAGCGTGTTAGCTTCTTCACTTGCTAGATCCAGCGCCTTTGCTCTACACGGCATGCTCGGAAGACATTTGTTTACACCTACACCGGCACTCTCCACTTTTTCCTTTTTGGTTCCTTTCCCGGCATGTCTACCCCCCCCCCCATGCTTTCAGCCGTCTCTGGTGCAAGGGAAGTCCACGAGCGCAACCATCCGAGTGGCATCTCGATATCGAGACCCACCACGGGCAGCGTCTGCCCCCCCCGCGGGCAGGAGGCGAGATTTTGACCAGGAGGACCTAATTTTTCATCCCAAGGTGTATCTTGTTGTTGTTGTTGTTGTTGTTGTTGTTGTTGTTGTTGTTGTTGTTGTTGTTGTTGTTGTTGTTGTTGTTGTTGTTGTTGTTGTTGTTGTTGTTGTTGCTGCTGCTGTTGTTGTCGTCGCTCTTGTTGTTGTTGTTGTTGTTGTTGTTATCAGACTCTCCCAGCCCCTGGTCAGTACCTTCTAACATCTGTACCGGTCCGGCTGACGCGGACGTCATAAGCGGTCAAAGGCCAACCAACCCCCCAAAAAGGGCACGGCACTTTGAAAAGAAAACGTATTTCCGCCAGCGAATACTTGTTGAATTGGTGACACCAACGCCCCCTGGGACGCACGAAACCGCGATCGCGCATCCGACTAAAGCCGGATACAGGCGCAGTTCTGGGGGTCGTGAGAAAACACCTGCAACAGCAACGGTCCTCCCTATCTCATTTGACCTCGGTGTCTTTCTCTATCTTCTATCTGTTTGTCCGTCTGTCTGTCTGTCTGTCTGTCTGTCTGTCTGTCTGTCTGTCTGTCCGTGTGTGTCTCTGTCTGTCTGTCTGTCTCGCTCGCTCTCTCCCTCCCTCCCTCCCTCCCTC